AGTGGAATTGATTGGGTAATTGTCCGACCAAGAAAAAACAAAGAAAGACTCAGAATACGAAGATGTCCCCTGCCTTAAAGTATCAAATGACATGCACGAGCTAGGTATAGCGAAACACAAAAGCAAGAACTATATATTCCTTTTTGGTTAGCAAGGTGAGGTACACGTAACACGTGATGTTCATGTCATGCTATATGAAATTTATCTCTAACAAAATGTGGATATATAGTTTTTTAATAAGGAAGTGCATGCCACAAAGAAAGTTAATTATTTATTTATTTATTTAAATAAAATGTTATTTGGCAGGTAGTTCCTTATTCTAAAATTTTAATAATTTTTAAATAACATCAAGATCAGTTTTTTAATAGGAGGATGCAAAGTGTTGGAAACACATATAGAAACCTATCACTTACTTAAACTTGCATATAATCATAAGGTGGACCCTTCTCTAAATATAAAAAATTGTTGTTTTGTCAGCATTCGTGGAAATGTTAAAAGTGCCTCACTTATTAAAGTTTCTTCTTTTTGCCCACCAATTATTTAATTGCCTATATCTATAATTATTTAAAAAAAAAAAGAAAAAAAAAGCATATTTATGCATTAATTTTGATTATAAAAGGAAAATAAATTGAATTCTACATCTAAAAATTCTGGTTTTCATTTGTGAGAGCAGATTCCACTGTGCTTGTGACCTTAGGATGATGTATAATGCAATTTCCTATTATAAATTTACAAAGCTTATAGTCCAAAAAATATTTAATTTGTACAAGTGTCGGAATCCCAACACTCATTTTATAATGTGGAGGTTGTCGGTAATCGGTCACATGATAATAGTTTTGCTTTTTGGTTGTGGATTGTAGATAGTGAAGGTTTGTTGATGTTTGATGCGCCTACAATGTAGTATTCCAAGCTTTTCTTTTATGGCCTTGCCACTGTCCCGACATAATTAATTAAGCTTCATCATAGGAAGTTTAATTTAAATAATGTCATATATATTTTTATTTTTTTTAAGTTTAAAAAATTTTAGGAATTTTAATTTTAATTTTTTATTGTAATTATTTAAAGGGTTAAAAACCGCTAAATCATCTATTTCTCAAACCCTTAAATTAGAAGTCAAGGAGATTAAAAGTTTAGTTTAATTTAGAAAGAAAAATAACAAATTTAATATTTTATAAATCGATGTCTCATTAAAAATGATTATAATATATTTATATCTCTAAAATAATAATTTTCATATAAGGTATTTTAATTACAATAACAAAATACTATTAAAATTTATTTATTTCACCTTTTTCCCAAATATAAAAATTACCATTACTTAACTAATTATCATGCTATACCTTCCCTCACCCTAATATTTTACCGTTGAATGCTTTAAGATCTTTTTTTTTTTTTTTTTTTTTTTTTTTTCTTTTTCCCAAATATTAGAATTACCATTAACTTTAACTAAATTATGCATGTCTATAATTACTTCCCTACCCAATATTTTTACCGTGAATGTCTTTTAAGATTCTTTTTTTTTTTTTTTTTTTTTTTTTTTTTTAAGGAGAATTTACATTTTCAATTGGCCGTGAAAATGTTACTTTTTTTTTTTTTTTTTTTTTTTTTTTTTTTTAAGGAGCATTTATCATTTCAATTGGCGTGAAATGTTACTTTTGATAAAACACGTGTGCACTTTCAAAAAAAAAAAAAAGAAACAAAAAGAAAACACGTGTGCAGTTTTCTTAAGTGTACTTCTCCAACCTCTCCCCGGCTTACAAGTCACAGATCACGTTATGTACTTTTGGATGGAGAGTGAAAGAAGGGAAAATGATGTAAATGTCATTACCAGTTCAGTACAAACTGCGCAATTGTCTGATTATGTCTGGTTAGAGTACCAAAACAGATGGAGATTTTTTGACCTAGCAATTTCTACGATTAAAATTCAAATTCGAGATATTTAATTACAGGAGAAAAATAATTTTAATCACTTTATTTCAATTAACGGTAATTTTATCAATATGTCTATTAATAATAGACATATCACCAATTATCAATTCTCATCGATTATAGCCATAGTTCACGACTATATTTTAAGAACTTAAAACTACTTCTTCCTTTCAAGAAAAAAAAAATTAGAAATACTTTTTCATTAACGCTCATTTTTTCTCTTATTAACCTAACTCCACTTTCAACTTATTACTTTTATATATTAAATAAAAATAACATTTACTGCTAATGGGATTCGCTTAAGTGAAAAGAATTCAAATTCTTTAAATATAAATCTGATGCGCCGAGCACGTAATAAAAATAAAAATAAATAACATATGGACTATCTATATTAGGAAATGATACTTGTGATACAAACAAAAATAAATAGTATCTATATAATGCTTCGTCCTCTCCCTAAGGGTTTTAAATTTGTGTCGCTTAGGCAAATATAAAGGGTTCAATTAATTCGGCTAAAATACAAAAAAAAAAAAAATAATAATAATGTTTGGGGTAATTTTGTGAAATTTACTTCTGCTTGTTGACTAATTAGAAATACTTCAAATTTTGAGAAAAACTTCCATATAATGATGCATACTTATTTAGTAAAAGCAAATTAAAAAAAAATTTATTCTCCTTATTTTTGCGAATTAGGAAAAGAATGAAGGGACAAAAACAAAAATAGTCTTTTTGTTGTACTAATAATGGTATCGAGCTATTTAAAAATCGATATCAATCTTAAAATTTGTTAATAAAAACAATATTCTTAAATAAATAAATAAAAATACTTTGAATTTATAGAAGGGAATTAATTGTAATTAGGTGTAAAAGAAAAAATTAAATTTGAATTCCAGTGCAATGTGAAATGGTCCCTCATTTATAAAAATTGGCAAAGCCGTCCTAATAAATAAGTACGATGCCGTTTCAATTAATCCGCCGTTAAACTATAGAGAGTGTTGACTTGTGAAAAATAAATGTAAAATGGGGACATAAATTTATGACACTACTTCATATAATTCAATTCTTATAGTAAGTAATTTAATTTCTCTCCTTTAATTAGTACCTCAATTTTAATTTTTAATCACTAAATTACTTCTCAAGGATATGCATGTTTGAAAATTGACACGAATACTCTAATTAATAGATGATAGGAGTCATTAACAAGTAATTAAATACATAACCCTAGGTTGGGATAGTCTATATATATGGAAATTGGAATGAGGAAAGAAAATTTTTTTTCTTATTTTTTAGTAGATTAAGAGGAGTTAATCTCCTTTGTATCACAGCGAGTAAAGAATTGGGTCTCCATCAATTACGCTTTTCAAATATTAAATTTGAATTCTCATTTTACAAGAAATCAAGACTATTTACCGGTCCGATCAACATTAGTTAGTATCAAGACTATTTGAAAATGTTTTTTTTTTTTTTTTTTTTTTTTTTCACAGCGAGTAAATAGAATTGGGCTTCCTCCAATCCACTTATCCACGCTTTTCACATTTATTAACCATTTGAATTCTCCACCTTATCAAGAAATTCAAGACTTACTACTCGTTACCCGGTCGAATCAACACTACGTTATATTCCAAGCACTATGTTGAAGAATGTTTTTATTTTTTTTTTTTTCTTTTTCATCTGTATCTGGGATGCTTTGCATAGAACACACCACGTGTTGAATAAAGTTTATAGGAAGAATAAGAAACACACCACAAGTTATAACTGTCTTGCCGAGGCAATGCGCCGTGTTCGCTAGACACACAAAATCTTCAAGGCATCATTCTTTCCATTCAACCAAAGTAATTCTCGTCAAAATGGTGAAATGGCTATTCTTGGAAAACGTTTTCCTTTCCCTTGAGCACAAGATACATTATATTTCATTCCTGAAATTTGTCCTCTATGGAAGTCCAAATTGGAGCGAGCAGGATTCAACCTTTTTTTTTTTTTTTTTTTTTTTTTCATTGTATTGGGTTTGCATAGAAAACGACGGTGAAAAAGTTTATAGGAAAAAGAAAAACAAAGTTATAATGTTGCAGCATGAGTGGTGTAGAAAAAAATTTCAGGATTTTTTTCATTTCAACCAAAGTATTAGAAAATGTGAAATGGCATTCTGAAAAACGTTTTCCTTCCCATTGAGACAGATAATTATATTCATTCTGAAATTTGTCCTCTGAAGTCCAAATTGAAGCATCACCTGTAATTAGCTACCAAGTGAACATTTAACCATAATGGCACGTGCACCAACCCAAAATTAGTCAACTTCCTTGAAGAGCACGTGTACATGGGGAATTTTTTTTTTTTTAATTTTGTGTTTACTCCGTGTTCGAATTCTCTTTCCCAATGCTTAAAAAAACAATGTGTATTCAATATTTATATAAAAAAAACAAATAAAATGAAATAGAGAGAATTTACATTATACTAAATAGACAATAGTTAATATTAATTAAAAAATAAGATATTGTAAATATTTTTTACTAATGGTACAGTGTAAGTTAAAGTTTGAGTATTTTCCACTGTAAATTTTCGCATTTTAGGTGTTATTTTGATAATTGAAAAATAGCTGGAAAAAAAAAAGACAATCCGGGAAATTACACCGCCGGCCAATTTATGTGGCCTGCACGGTGGATTCATATACTGCCAAAAAACAGCGCTCTATATTTTCCGTTATGTTTTATTTTAAAAAAAAAAAGAGAAGAGATAGAGGAATTGTCCACAAGAAAATGGACAAGTTGGTTGAAAGAGGAGAAAACAATTTCCACAGAACTTGATAGAAAGAAAAGAAAACTCAGCAGCACGCACTGCACACACACACACACAGAGATGGGAAAGTCAATGGGTCAAACTTCAAAGCCTTCTATGGGCTCTTACTAACCATAATTACTACTAAGTTTAACTGCTTAATTAAGTACTTAATAAAATTTAATTAATAATTAAACCCCCCCAAGTTCCTATTGCGGCTTACTCTCTCCCTCTCACGTGCTTCCTTTTTCTCCATTTTCAAATCTATCAACGCATCTATAAAAACCCCATCTTCTCTATCTTCTTGTATTAATCCATCTTTCTCTCTCTCTACATCTCTCCAAATCAGAAAATAAAGAAAAATTTCAATCAATCAGTCCTGTCCATTTGAGGGAAAATATTCATTCATATGATGGATGTTAAAGGCAAAAACAGGAACCAGAAGAGCATGAGCCCCTCCTCCTCTTCCACCACCACCGGCACCCAAAGTGAAGAGGAGATGGGGGACTTAAGAAGAGGGCCATGGACTGTTGAAGAAGACTTTAAGCTCATCAATTACATTACTACTCATGGAGAGGGTCGCTGGAACTCTCTTGCTCGCTGTGCAGGTAATTAATTATCTTTTTTCATTTATTTATTTCCTTACTGGTGGAGAGAAGCAGAATATTGAGATCATGATCCAATTAGTATTAGTATCATATAGTGCCGAACAACAAGTTGCCATCTTGTCTCAACTTGATTTGATCATTTTCATTTCTTCATGTTTCTCAACTTCTTTTAGGCAAAGTTTGTTTCTTTTCTTTCATTTGTCCTCCAATGGGTTTTCCAGGTACAAAATGACCAAGACCTTGCACAAAAATGCAAAATTAAGTCTTTTCCTTCCTTTTTCAATTTTCCTCTTTCATTCTCTTCTTTAGATGAAAAAACATCTTGGGTTTTTTTCTATTTTTTCATGGGATACATAAAATAGGAGAATTTCTAGGAGAGATAGGTAGATGATGTGAGTTATCCTTGTATGGGAATGAATGAAAGATTGTTCTTTAATTAGCCGTACATGTAGATATTAATTAAATCAAGTAAAAATAGACAAGTCGATGATAAAGTCTCTGCAAAAGTGAAAATGCTCTCTTTCTTTTCTGCTCTTTCAATTATTATTAGTTGTAAACTTTACCAAAACTAATGGATTGTAATGAACTAATCAAATCGAATCAGGTCTCAAAAGAACCGGAAAAAGCTGCAGATTAAGATGGCTGAACTATTTAAGACCTGATGTTCGACGTGGAAATATCACTCTGGAAGAACAGCTCATGATCCTGGAGCTTCATTCTCGATGGGGCAATCGGTAAGAATCCAAAAAAAATACATCCTTTTCTTTTTGCTTCATTCCAATCTTTATAAGTTCTAACAATTATATCATCAACAGATGGTCCAAGATTGCGCAACACTTGCCGGGTAGAACTGACAATGAGATCAAGAATTACTGGAGGACGCGCGTGCAAAAGCATGCGAAACAGCTTAAATGTGACGTGAATAGCAAGCAATTCAAAGATACTATGCGATACTTATGGATGCCTAGGTTAATTGAAAGAATTCAAGCTGCGTCCGCCGCTAACGCCACCGCTACCAGTACAACCTCAGCTGCACCCGCAATCGCAGACCCCGCCCATCACAACCTCACTGAAATGGGTACCGGGCAATGGGTCATGGGTCAAGGTAATGGACTTGTAGGAAATGAGCAGTTTGGGATTACTCGTTACACTACTCCTGAGAGTTCTAGTACGGCTGCCTCATCGGACTCGTTTGGGACGCAGGTTTCGCCTGTCTCCGATTTGACAAACGATTATTACAGTACTACTATCTCGGTTAATCATAACTCTAATCCGGATTACTTTCAATCTGCGCAAGTGGGATATTCGGAGTCTATGATTAGTCCGTCTGGTTACTTTAACCAAGCATTGGATTTCCAAGCTCCGGAACAGAACACCAACAACAACCAACTATGGATGGACGGAGGGGACATCACGGACAATTTGTGGAATGTTGAAGATATTTGGTTCAACAATATGTGAAAAGAAATGCCCAACACTAATGAATGGGTAAAAATTTAGAGTTCAAGAAACAAGAATTATCCATAGAATAATTCATAATACTGATAGGATTTGTGATGGACAGAGAGGTCTAATTGTGGATTAATTACTTTCTTTGTTTGCATTTCCTTAGTTTTTTTGTTTTTGCTAAGAGGGGGAGGGGGTATAATTGTAATTTTTACTTTTTCCGGTTAATCCCATTCTTTGATATTAACACAGTCATCCTGTTCCGGCAACATTATCTCTATTATTTAAATTATCGGATAATATAGTTTTTATAATAGTATCAAAATTTAAAAGAACGGATTATTTAATTTTACAGAACATTTATTGTATTTTCACCGTGGGATAAATGCATGATTGCATTATAGAAGCATGGTTTAGATAAAATTAGAATAATAATAATTAATTAAAGAAGTGCATAATTGATTCCACCATCTTTACTTAGATGTAAATATTTTAAAGAGTTTATATCTTAAAAGCATATTAATAATATTAGATTAGACATTAAACTTTTGAAACATTGGCTATGGGGCCTGAACCAAGATTAAGAGTCCCAAGTTTCTAGATTGCCAAAAATTAAAAAAATAAAAAAAGTGTTGGGTTCTAATAATTTTGGCGACGTGGCTTTGTAGGATTCATTTAACTTTGTGCTTCAGTTGGCCATTAGGGTACTACTTTACATTTCTAAATCATAGATTATAAAATTAAATTATCTTATATGCGGTGTTAATGATCAAACCTCCATCTCTTGGCTCTGTCTTTCCTCTGTTTGTCATCGTACGGACAATTACTTGTAACCAACTTAAGCGGACATCTTCTATTCTAATTCCTTTCCATTTATTCTTAATTAATTTTAAATGATAATACTAATCTATCTAAACAAAGATTACGTTTCCAAGTACTATATATAATACAATCCATCCATACAAAGATCACGGTACTAAATTATTTGAGATCTCGAAATCTGGATATCATTTTTCTTTTTCGCATATGTGTTTTTACTTTCGAATCAAAAGTAATATTTAAATAAAAGTATGTCCATAATGGTGATTTCATGTTTTTAATATCTGACATGCCAGATAAAATTCTTTTGAAAATATAATCCATTTCATTATAATATGCTTACAATATAAGTTTTAGAAAAAGATTTGGCTACTTCCTCGATACATAATTTAAACGAGGATGTTCCTTATTAAGAAAAAATGATAAAATAGCAATAATATTTTAAGAGATTTATTTAAAATTTATAAATATTAGTAGGTCTTATCCTAAATATGAAAGGTTTACAGGCTCTTCGTATATGAACTCACTCGTAGACCAAACTAATGGAATAATTTTTTCAGTTTAAGTAAGGATATTTTCCACCTCACGCAGGAGGAAATATAAAATAATAACAATTGTTATTAAAGATTAGGAAGATAATTTAAATATCTGATATGACCGTTTTACCCTTATTTGAAAAGTTGAAACTAGACGAGAGGAGGGTTAGCACTTGCGACCCAAAACGTGATGAAAATACTCACTGGTAGAGACTAGAAAGAGAAAGAGAGAGAGAGAGAGGGAGGTATGGCGGCGGGGAATCTTTGTAGGCGCGTGCCTATAGGAGAAGCCATCAAAGGTGGTCCAAGGTGAGGTGAGGTGTTGAGAGCGTGCCACGTGTTTGATATTAAAAACTCCAAAAACTATAATATAATAAAATAATAAATAAGTTTGTTAATATAGCTGTGGTTAGGCTTCCTGGACTGAAGCACTGACAGCCGCAACCGTTGAAAGAGCCCTCGCCAACAGCAGTTCCACGTATGACCTTACAACTTATTTAATTTATGCATACATATACACCCACATTAAAATTAAATTACATTATATAATAAAAATTTAGATTATTTATTTTAAAATTTAGACTTTATATTTTACTTATCATGAATATAAAAAATAAATTGTGTTGTACATAAAGAGATATTTTTCTTGGATCCCTCATTGGGCTTTGCAGAATATAATAACATAACATAATCTAGGGAAGTTAGCAGGAAAAAAAAATATTCATTTAAAATTATACACATTATTAATTTTGAATACGAGTTGATCTTTCTAATACAATACAGAATAGAGTACAAATACGATACGAGAAGAATGTACAACTGGACTCCACCAATACCATAGTGCTGGAGGCTTTGGCTTTCCGCCACGTTGATTTTTTCCTAAAAGTATTTTTCTATTCAAAAAGTTAAGGAGTGGGTCCCGCTAGGAGTGGACCAAATTCAAAGACTTTCTAGTCAAAAAGTGGGGCCGCCAGGAATCCGACGTGGATGATCTGAAGCTAAAATGGGTCCCATTTCTTCGAAGTGATAACCGAAAGCGGGAGAGGAACTGAGGAAGGAACGAGGGTCGTTAATGTTAAGGTTATTGTCATGAAAGTGTTGCTGATGTTAGAAAAAAGCTCTTCTTTACTCTTTATTTAGGTTCTTTACAATGTATTCTTCCTTTGATTTATACTGAGCATATGCTCTCTTTCTTCTTACTTCATTTTTGTTTCTTGCCAAATGGGTTTACTTGATTTCTCCCAATTTTGAATTCAAATATTTTTATTTTAATTTAATATTATTTATAAAGTGTTTATCTGGTAATAAAACGGATTAAAGATTAGGTAATGCAAATAAAGAGTTTAGGTTTAGGTTTCTTATAACCAAACTCTCAAGATTTGCTTATGAAATAGCCATCTCTCAAATACTCCAAACACAAGTTTTCTTTTGTTTACCTCCATTAAAGAAGAATTAGTACCACATATTATTATTACTACATTAAGATTCTAACCTATCTCAACAGAAAACATGCACAGATAATGGATTCCCATTACACTTCTCTGATCAGACAAGAATGGTATGTTTTACAAAACACATGCTATTTGGTGCACTTTAACATCTCTCTTAACAACCATTTCAAGCTCATATTTCGTTTTCATGCCCATTTATCAATTGCGTGAAGCTTTCTAATGAAAGCGAAGGTCTCCATATGCAAATTTTGCGCTTCAATTATATATAATTAGGGTTTTAACTAATTCCAAAGTGATCACAGCCACCTGTTTTGATCAAGTGGATAACATGAATCATAAAGTTAATGGTGATCTATTTCTTTCTATAAGTGTATATAGTATAGGTCATTAACGAAAATGGATGGAAGATGTTTCCTACCCGGAACAAATGAAGTAAATGCTTGTGTTGGTTTTCCACTATGAGCAAGATCGCATGCTTTATATTACTTCATGCTTATCCCATCTGTGGAAATTTTGATGATGATAATTTTGCTTATGTGCATTCGAGGTTATTATATTTATATACAGTAGTTATATTAATCACTTCTAGTAACCATATATATAAAAGAAATTAAAATATTTTTAATCCTATATTATAGATATTTATTAATTGTTACTGACTTACCTAAATCCGATCTATGTTTCTATTCATGAACCAAACCAATGCAAATAATTTTTTTTTTTTTATTTAAAAAGTTGAATTGATGAAAAAAAAAACGATTATTTGATTGACTATAATCCAAAAAGCTAAAAAATTGAATTGATGGAATATAATTCAAGATTATGAAAAACAATGAGACCAAATTGAGATGGATATGCGTATGAAATTAAGTTAGTCTCAAATAAGCCTAAAATAGAGAGTGTGATCACATAATAAAATCCGTCTCTACCCTAAATTATTTCTGGATAATATGCTGAGAACTCCAACATTGCGTAGCTAATAGGCTATGTTCCTTCATTACGGCAACATGGTACTTCTTCTTATGTATCGTGATCCAAAATCAGAAAATTTCCTCAAATTCTTTCAGTATATAATGGCAATTTGACATATTCATTAATATTTTTTAATTTCAAAATAATCATTAGCTTCAAGTGGAAAGAATTCAAAATCCTTGCAAGAGACTTATCATGAAGCCTGTGTCTTTAATCACATCAAATCAAAGGAAAAAAAGATTATATGAAATGGAAGAAAACAAGTATAGCTGTCGATCTAAGAAAAGGAAGGAAGGAAAGAAAACTAGAACCTTGGAAAATTCAGCTCTACTAGAAAGTCAATTAGTGATTTTGTCATCGCAACTTGCAATCCAGTTAGTGATTTTGTCAAATAAACTTATAAACAATCTTATCATTAATCCCCGAGTTGCAGTTATTTATATTTATCATATAATAATAATTCCCATCGCATCGCAGTTCAATTTTTATGGGCCGGAACTGAATTTTGCTCTTGCTATTGTAGTTGGATACAGTTGGAGCAACTGCAAGTAATGACAATGGACAAGTCTATTTTTGAGGCCATTAATCACGAGCCCAATATAGCAATATCTGTATAGGCCCAAATCATTCTTAGCCCATTATAATCCATCATTTGGGCTTCCGGTTGTAATGTGCTTAAAAAGAGTTAACCGAGCCCACGTCAGCAGCAACAGCAATATTGTTAGAGCAAGCAGCGCCACCGTCCTCCTCCGTGCTCCTCTTCATCCTCTTTGATCCCCGTTTTCTGCCGCTGATCTTCGAACACGAAACTGGCAGCTCGAGATCATCATCATCCTTCGAAAACAAATTGCCGCTGCTGTTAGTGTTAGATTCTGGTTCTGTCTGACCGACGCTCTCTATAGAATGGATATGGCACTCCGGCCAGTCGAGAGCTTCCAGGTCTAGCTTCACCTGATCGAGCGATACTGAGGAACCGTAGGGCGAGAGCTCGTCCTTGAGCGTAGACCGCTGTAACTTTATCAGATCCACGGTGATCAATGCATCGTACAACACATGCTGAAATAAAGTGGAATCATTAGAGAGGAATAATTATGAATTTTAAGAGGAGATTCAATTCAAGAGAAAAGAACACATGCCTTAGGACGCTGGTAAATTTTTTTGAATCCGTGCATTAATATCACCTATATTATTCATGCCCAAACAAAACAACGAAAACGAGAATCAATAATGTAAAATTGAAGATACTGTTCTGTTTGGTTGCGGAGAAAATTGGAGGGAAAAGTAAATAATCCGTTGTTTAAGAATATGAAAGAGCCCTCCATTTTTCTCTGGAACCAAACAGATGAAAAAGGAGTGAAAAAAATAGAAGAAAATGAGTAACCTCATTAAGCTGATTCATGTTTAAGGCGTCTTGAGAAGGATCGTCAAGGAAATGCTCGTAAGCTTCAAGTGAGATAGCCTTCTTCTTCGCCTTCACCATTTTGTTTCTCTCTATAGCTTATGAGAAAAAAACAGTGGAGAATTTCAAATGTGCGGTGCAGTACTGTTTGCTATTGCAATTCGTGCCGATTTATAACTGCCGATTCAGTTACGAAAATGCCCAGCCCCAGCGTAACTGCGACGGAGCTGCATCGCCTTGTTACACTAGTGTTCACTTTTATCTCTGACAGCAAAATGTAGTTTTAATGAACAGAAACACAATTAGTTGAATTTAGAGCGACTCATATTAAGTTTATTAAAATAATTAACATTTTATTAATTATAGTTTGTATTTAATTAATCTCAGTTTAAAATATAAATTTCTAATTGATAAAACATATAAAACGAAGGAAGCAAAACTAATAGACCATGTTGGAAGCTTTTGCACTTTCTACACGTGCTAGTCGCACGCTAAAGATTAGTTTTCATTTTCTCATTTGCCTATGTACACGCAAATATCGCCATATTTGAAGGGTGGAATATTAGGATAAATTATTTCTAAAAAATAAATTTTCTTATTTTGTTTTTTATCGATAAATAATTAAAAATATTATTGTTTCAAAATGAAACTTTTCCATTGATTATAGATTAGATCTATTGATATTGATGGGTCTAATCACGTCCATCTTATTTTTTATTTTTCTGTATAAAAAACATAATACTGTATTTCGATTTTGGCTACAAAAAATTGCCACGTGTTATATAAATATCGCACAAGATTTTTAGTTTTTATTTTTCTGTCTTTCGTAAATTAAAAAATTGTTTGTCTAGACTCGTTCTCAGCCACATTTTATAGACCAAATCAATAGCAATAAAGAATTTTTGAACCGTATTCTAACTTTATCATTTTTTTCAGTGTATAGTTAAAAATACCTTCATTTCAATAAAAAAATTATATTCTCATTGGTTTGATATAAAAGTGGAGCCATAAATGCTGGCATAGGTAAAATTTTTCTGGTAGACTAGATGTAACTACATTTCGTTTTCTCGATTTTTACAAAATTTGGCATTGTAACAAACACCAACCACAAAAAAAAAAAAAAAAAAACGCCTAAACTCGCGACGGACCGCTGCTCATCGCCTTGTTCGCCTATCCACGTCACGTATGTTGTTCTACTTCTTTGATCTGCTGGACAAGCACACAGATTGTTGCCAGTCTTTACGATCGAACAGTCACTCAAGTCAAGTATGTTGAATCTTCCTTGAGAGCGCGATCCTCTATGACTTAAAGTTATTAAAACAGAATCACGTCGCTCAATACTTCTTATTATCTACTTATTAGTTTTATTTATATCCTATTCCTCACGCCTCGTGAAGATATCACATCTTCTAATCGTTGCATCTCGAACACAACATATCAAACACACAACGACACGCAACTAATGAGTGACCATGTTGTAAGCTTTTGCACTTTACTACACTGCTAGTCGCACGCTATAAGATTTAGTTATCTCTCTTTCTCATTTGCTATGTACACGCAAATATCCGCCAGTATTCTGAAGGGCTGGAATATTAGGATAATATTAACTTCATAAAAGATAAATTTTCTTATTTTGTTTTTTATCTGAATAAATAATTAAAAATATTATTGTTTCAAATATGAAACTTTCCCATTGATTATAGATTAGATCTACTTGATATTGATGGGTCTAATCAGTCCATCTTAATTTTTTATTTTATCTGTATAAAAACTATAATTACTGTATTCTCGATTCTGGCTACAAATTGCCACGTGTTTTCATAAAATATCGCAACAAGATTTTAAGTTCTTCTGCTATTTTTCTGTCCTTTCGTAAATTAAAAAAATTTTGTTTGTTCTACGATCGTTCTCAGCCACATTTATAGGACAAATCAATAGACAATAAGGGAAAAAATTTTTTAACCGTATTTCTTAACTTTATCTCCATTTTTTTTCGTTGTATAGTTAAAAATTACCTTATCACATTGCAGATAAAAAAAATTATATTCCTCATTGGCTTGGATATAAAAGTGGAGCCATAAATGGCTGGCATACGTGTATAGAGATTTTTTCTGGGTCTTAGACTTAGATTGTAACGTACATTTCGTTTTCTCGATCTTCTTTAACAATATTTTGGGCATTGTAACAAACGACCAAACCACAAAAAAAAAAAAACAAAAAAATTCACAGTTACTTGCTAGCTATTCAGTTTTTGAACATACCCTTCTTATTGTTAAAAAATTAAATAAAGAAAAGAAGATTATGTATACCATTGTTGAAAAATATAGCAGCCATGAGCATTATCAGAAAGATCGCCTAGGATATTAGAGTATGTTTCAATGCAAATAAGCGGATTGCTTTACGTAATTCACTCTACGTACCTTGGCCAAGTCTCACGAAAAAACAAAAGGATTTTTTTAAAAAAATTGCTTCGTAATTAAACTATCTATTACTCTTCTTTACTTTCTAAAAAGTTTCTTACGTAAAAAAAAAAAAAAAAAAAATCAAGTTATGCTAGCTAATTTTTATACCCTTCTTTTTGTTAAAAAATAAATAAAGAAAAAGAAAAAGATCTATGTATCCATGTTGAAAAATATGGCAGCATGAGCATTATTCAGAAAAGTCGTAGGATATTAGAGTATGTTCAATGCAAATAAGGATTGCTTTTACGTAATTGCCACTCTACGTAATTGCCAAGTCAGAAAAACAAAAGGATTTTTTAAAAAAATGCTTTCTAATATTAATATCTATTACTCTTTTTATTTCTAAAAAGTTTCTTACGTAATATTAATATTTATTACTCTTTAGTGATTAATTATATATTAAATTATAAACTCTAAAAAAAGAAAAATAATAATAAAAGAAAATTTAAAATTAATGTATCAGAGAGAATTTTTTTTTAATTTATTGTCTATAAATAAATATTCACTGGTTAACGCTTTCTATTTCACACCACACGTTAACCACAATTCACGTTACCGTCGAGGACGCGCTTACTGTTTTACACTAGCTTTTACAAAAGTTGGGTGAGCTGGCGCATGAGTCATCGCTCCTGTTAATATCATTTTTTTTTTCTTTTTTTTTTTGGAAGAAAATTCGGCTTCGGTTTTCTTGATTTCCGCACATTTTAATATACGATATTGTCTGTTCTGGATCAGAACCCAGAACCGACATTTCTGATCCTTTCGTAAATGGAGCTTTCGTGGTCGATTTTGCCCTTTATCCAATCACATTTGAAGTGCCTGTTCTAATACGTCTTCGTTTCCTTTCACTACCCGAATTACCCTCCATGTATCTTATCCTAGTTTTCTTACCTAATTTATTTTTTTTTTATAATTGACGTTATTTTCTCTTTCTTTTTTTTCTATTTGTATTTTTAAAAAGTTTTTTTATCTAATTTAAAATTAGAGGGTATTAGTTGAAGTTTTTAGCTCTCTCCCTAATTTTTAAGTTTTATTTTATTATTTTTCTTTCTCTGTTAGTGTTTGATTAATAAAAGGTAAATTATTAAACAGAAAAAAAGAGATGATATAAAGAATAATTACATTAACTTAAAATTTTTTAAATATAATTTAAGTAATGTAATTGCTTTTGAAAAAAAATCTTAAATGACAAAAAATGGAGGTAGTCGCAGAATTACAAAAAGGTGTTGGGTGGGGGACCAAGGGACCATTCAAAATGACAAATCACGTGCAGGGGCAGTACTGTAATTGCAAGCTCCGCCCCTGCATCTTGAAGTTTTCCTCTTCCGCGTCTATAAAAATCCATTGGGGCGCCTCCTACCAAATCTACCAATCTTTAGACACACTCTCATTCAAAGCTGTCCTTCAACGTCTCTCTTCAACTGTAAGTAACAAATTTTTAAAATTTTAATCATTTTTATCCATTTTGAATTTACACATAACCGTTCATTTTTAGTTATTCTTCTATATAGTTCTTCAGTCTATTACTCTGTGGTTCATATAATTTTTTAAGGCCAACAGAGATAGTTGTGTTGTGGGTTTATAAGATATAGCAACTAACGTTTGTATATATATAGATTGTTCAAGGTAGCACCTTTGTTCAGATTCTTTTACAATTTGCATATTAACAATGACCACTAGCAGCTGTATTGGAATCTCAACTATGAAACCTTGTTGTAGAATTCTAATTGGGTCTAAAAGTTCTTCCCTTTTTGGGGTTTCTTCCCCAAAGTTAAATAATCGAGTTTTCAATAACAATTTGTCGAAATCACAATCAAAATCAACCCATCTCCGTAGATTTCATTGCTACAGCGTCAATAATAAGTCCAGGATCATAGGTAATAAGAGTTTGGTCAATTCAAATCGCAGAGCTTTTAATGTCTCTGATTTGAATTGGGGTCAATCCAAGGTTTTTAATTTTACTTATAGGTTTCATGTAGATATGGGTAGTATAAGGGGTGTTTTAGTAATTCCCAGGGTAGCATCAGATTTTAGGAACCATTCAACATCAGTAGAGTCTCATGTTAATGAGAAGGGATTTGAAAACATTTTTATTCAAGGAGGCTTGAATTTGAAGAAGCCTTTAGTTATTGAAAAAATTGAAACAGGAAATAATGCACTCAAAAAAGATGAAACGTCTAATAGGGTAGATATTAATGGGACTAGTGTCAACATAGATTATTTGAAGGGTTTGAATGAGACTTCTCCTAATGTTGAGAGAGAGGTGTCTGAGATTGAAAAGGAGGCATGGAAGTTGCTTCAAGGTGCTATTGTGAATTACTGTGGGAATCCAGTGGGGACTGTTGCTGCAAATGATCCTGCTGACAAGCAACCACTGAATTATGATCAAGTGTTTATCCGTGATTTTGTTCCGTCTGCGCTTGCTTTTTTGCTTAATGGAGAGCCAGAGATTGTGAAGAACTTTCTTCTTTACACATTACAGTTACAGGTAATTTATGTTTGAAAAGTTGCACATTGCCTAATGCATTCATGTGCACTTTTAGAATGCAACACTGATGAATTTGTTTGTTGTTGATTCTTTCAATGATTAATTTTTCCATCTAGTAAGTGTCACTTCATTTTTGCATGTGAAATGAAACTGTGTTACTTCGGCATATTGATTTGATGATGAGACACATTAGATAAAAATGAACGGATTAATCTAGTTATCACACAAAACTTTATACAGGATGTCAAGAAATGCTGCTGATTTGAGTTTTACGAGCCCAAATTATGTTTTGGATCCTCTTTCTATAATGTTTACATTAATTTCCAACCCTAATGGAAAAGACGTGGCAAAATTTTTGTGAGCACAATGCCTCATAATTTTGTGGCGTGAGGTTCACACTATAAATGTCTTTGACCATATTACATAGTGTTCCGTTATGGCTCAGTAGATGTATTATTAATGTTCTTGCTTACATCCATTCCTTGGTACCCTGATGTACTGTGGTTTTGAACTGAACTCAAATCTGCCTTAATGTTTCAGTGTTTTCTTTTTCTGAACACATAAAAAATATGCGTAATTTCTGCACTGTGCATAGTTTAGTTTGTACGACAAGGTTTGCGAGATGGAATCCATTTATCTCCAAAAACAAATAAATTAGCTTATTGCTTTAAGTAGGTCTAATGATATCATAGAATGTCGCAGGGTAGCATGTTTATCATCCATCTGCAATGGTTTCTTTCTGAAATTAACACCAGGAATGTTGCATTTTAAGAGCAAAAAGACATAAAAACAATAATCCTTCAAATGTTTAATTGCAATAATGTTTTCTCCTCTTTAAATTCTTTAGAGTTGGGAGAAGACAGTGGACTGTTACAGTCCTGGGCAAGGGTTGATGCCAGCAAGTTTTAAAGTCAGAACCGTACCCCTCGATGGAAATGATGGAGCATTTGAAGAAGTTTTGGATCCTGATTTTGGTGAATCAGCTATTGGGCGTGTAGCTCCTGTTGATTCTGGTATGCCAAGCAGGCCTTCATATAGTGTTGGTTCAAATTCTTATCGTTCCTGCTTCATTCTGCATGTTTCAAGTGTTCCTCTAGTTTCTTTATCAATTTAAATAACTCATTTGAAACATTTTGGAGCATTATTAGATTCTGAAACTCATGTCCATCAACAGGGTTGTGGTGGATAATGCTGTTGCGAGCTTATGGAAAGATCACAGGCGACTATTCATTGCAAGAGAGAATTGATGTTCAGACAGGCATAAGGCTCATACTTAATTTGTGTTTATCAGATGGATTTGACATGTTTCCTACTCTGTTAGTCACTGATGGCTCCTGTATGATTGATAGGCGGATGGGTATTCATGGACACCCTCTCGAAATCCAAGTAAGTCGGTGGTAGTCAATTCAACTTTAGATTTTGGTTTATTTGTTACATGTTGTAGAAAGTATAGCAAATAGATTTTCTTTTACATTTTATTCAGCAGTTATGAGGTTTGTTCTGCCTAATCACCCATTTGGATGTTTATTATATTCCATTTGTCTGCCAGCAGCATTTAATAGGCTCCATAGATGAAATAGTGCTCTAGATGGAGATGCCTATATGCCCTTCTTTCTTCAACATATATGCGTGTCTCATTGTTATTTCTTGCTTGCTTTTCATTTTCTCTCTTTTTAACTTCATCTTTTATTCAGACATTTTAGTTTCTCCTTTCCTTAGCCATAGGGTTGTACCTGACTAGTTTGATTTTTTTTAGGCCTTATTCTACTCAGCTTTACGTTGTGCACGTGAGATGCTTATCATCAACGATGGAACTAAGAAATTGGTAGCTGCTGTGAACAACCGACTCAGTGCACTCTCATTTCACATCAGAGAGTATTATTGGGTCGATATAAAGAAGATTAATGAGATATATCGTTACAAGACAGAGGAATACTCGACAGATGCAGTCAACAAGTTCAATATATATCCGGATCAAATTCCTTCTTGGCTAGTGGATTGGATTCCTGAAGAAGGTGGCTACCTCATTGGCAATTTACAACCTGCTCACATGGATTTTAGGTTTTTTACTCTTGGAAATCTTTGGGCCATTGTTTCCTCTTTGGGAACCTCAAAACAAAATGAGGGTATCCTGAATTTGATTGAAGCCAAATGGGATGATCTTATGGCTGACATGCCTCTTAAGATTTGTTACCCTGCTTTGGAAAATGAAGAGTGGCGTATAATTACTGGCAGTGACCCAAAGAATACGTGAGGCTCTTTTATGTTCCACTTGGTTTAATTAGATCTCTCATTTTCCCATTAATATGTTGGCTAGCAGCACAACGGGTTTTGGGGAACTATTGCTTTCTAATTTACTAATCTTCCCTGATTTCTTGCAGCCCATGGTCATATCACAATGGAGGATCTTGGCCAACACTTCTATGGCAGGTAAATTTTCCAAATTATAACTTTCTTGGATGTTTTTGGACACTGGATCTATTTTGATCTGAGATAGTAAGACTTGTGATTACTAAGCTATTACTGGTTATTGTTCCAGTTTACTTTGGCGTGTATAAAAATGGGGAGGCCTGAATTAGCGCAGAAGGCAGTTTCTTTGGCAGAGAAGAGGTTGTCAGTGGATCAGTGGCCTGAATACTATGACATGCGGCGTGGAAGGTTTATAGGTAAACAATCCCGGCTTTATCAGACATGGACAATTGCTGGTTTCCTGGCTTCAAAAATGCTTTTGAAGAACCCGGAGAAGGCATCATTGTTGTACTGGGAAGAGGATTATGATCTCCTCGAGACTTGTGTCTGTGCACTTAGCAAAACTAATCGGAAGAAATGCTCGCGATTTGCTGCAAGATCACAGGATCGCGCCTGATCTTGGTTTTCTCCTTTAAAAACAGCAATAAGCATGGGACAACAAGAAAAAGAAATAAGAGCATTCTCAGCTCTGGAAACATTAATTATCCAGAGATGACTTGTGCTGATATTAGAACAGCATCGCACCTTTTTCAGGATTTTGACATTTGCTTTGTTATTTCTGACAGCAAACATAACTATGAAGTATAAATGTGTTGTATCATTCAATTTCAATTAGATGGCTCTGTTTTTAGAGAGCCTCTAACATATTGTATGTATATAGATTAATTTGGAAGATATATATAAATTCAACATTTATTTAGTTTCAGTTTCCATGACTAATGGCATATGATATAAATAATCATAAGCTCGTGATGTCCAATTTTTCTTTATGGCTTTCCTTATCTTTTCAATGAGCATTGAGTTACTTGACAGCAGAAAAAAGAGAGGAGGAAAAAAAAGAGGGCCAGGCTTGGAGAAAAGAAAGGAAATTTTACACAAAAACACTACACTGTAGATGGAAAACCATTCCGCTGTCTCCGAGCTACAAGACTACAACTTTGATCTTTCCATGTGTAACCAAAATTCCCCATTCAGGGGTACACATAAAGGCAAGAAGCCAAGACCCTACAAAAGATATCAAGCTACCTCTTCTCCTTGTTTCCTGAATAGATCAATACGGCTATCACCTAGGCGCAAAGAATAAGCTGCTTTCTTATAATCAGCCCAAGTGAAAGTCCTATACAAGGAGGGCTTAATGGTTGAAACCATCTCTGGCAGTGCTGTGATCTTGGCATTCAAAGGTGGTGCAGCAAAATACGCCATTGACATCCTGGACTGGTCTGAATTGGTTAGAGCTCTATGTCTCACACTCACAAATCTTCCATTTGTCATAGCCTATCAGAAAACAGACGAATATTTTTGAAAAATTATAACAAAGGAAATGAACAAAAGGGTATTTTCTGACAGCTTTCAAAGTGGGACAATCACAGATCTTATCAAAGTCATTTTCATGGCTTTGGTTATAGGAAATCACTTTCAAAACAGGAATCGTTTTATTTTTGAGTAAATGATATTTTGGATAGACAGCTATGACCAAAAAAGACCTTATATTATCTATTATCATTATCATATCTTTCGAAAGGAAGAACCGAATCGGCTCAAGGCAGCTCAACGTTTATCACTTATCCCTTTGGTTAAATTAAAAAAGGTATTCCCTTTCCCTGCAATAAAACTGAAGTCAGCTTCTAAACAGACCAGAAATGGAAAGAAAACCCAAATGAGCGGACAAATTTTCCAGTTCCATTTATTCCGAAACAACCCAGTTCATGTTTCTTATTCTCATTGGTTAGAAACTGATGTTTAAAGGGTCCCACTCTTCCACTCTCCATAGCTTCAGTGACAACTGACAGTGAATGTGATTCCCCAGTTTCAATCACCTTTCTCCGATTGTGATCATTTCTACTACAGCAATAGTAAATACTAAATAAGAGAGAAAAAGGAAGGAAAATAGTTATACCAACCTGTAAAACATCACCAACATTAACGCAGAAGGCAGTGGGGTCAGGAGAGACAGGGACCCACACACCGTCATCTAACGAAATCTGGAGGCCACCAACATCGTTGGATCTCAAGAGAGTTAAGATCTGAGGGTCAGAGTGCTCTCCGAAGCCAACTCTGGTTGTGTAATTAGAAGAAGGTGATGTGTCGTTATCCTTGCAGAGAATAGGCATAGGCGGGTAGTAATTAAGCCTGAGGATGGAGTCACTGTCGACGTCTCTGATCAAGCTGCTAAACACTGAGGTTTGTGGGACCTGTAGCCCTTCTGCCATCAGATCTAAAAGCTCACATGCCACCTCTCTAACTGCTTCTATGTAACCACTCACAGCAGAGCTGTCACATTTTATCACACACAACAAGCTTCATCATCACTACCATGCACCAACACACTCTCACACCAACATTTAAAAAAAAAAAAAAAAAAAAAAAAAGCTCACTGCCACCTCTCTAACTGCTTCTTATGTTAACACTCAGCAGAGCTGTCACATTTTATCAACACACACAAGCATTCATATCCACTACCATGGGCAACCAACACACCCTTCACACCAACCATTTAAAAAAAAAAAAAAAAAATTAAAAAAAAAAAAAAAAAAAAGAAAAATTTCAAATTTTGATTTGATTAGACGTTGTTGATATATCTCTATGACTCGTCAATCCCTTTCTTTCTCCAATATCTTCTGTGTGATAGACTGATTGTACTTTGCCTTATCCTTTACTATTATTACCATTTTTTATTGTTATTATTATTATTATTAAAAATTAAAAATCAAAATGTAGGATTTTATTAATTTTGACTTGGTGAAATAGTTAACCACGCGCTAAGTACGAGCGTTATCGAAAACAACACAAGTATTTTGAGTGACAGAGAAGTGTCGGAGAGAGGGGGATCCCACCTTCCAGGAGACTCGCTCGTATAATCCCCATAGTGCCGACTCCCATGTGAATTTTTTTTTTTCGGGGTCTTTTATTATTTTTTTTTTTTTGGTAAAAAAAAACACAGATGTTCTAAGTGGTTTTATAAGTCACGTGTGCTGGCTTTTTTTTTTTTAAAAAAAAAAATCAACTATTTCATTTACAAATTCGATTATTTATTGAATCTTATATATATTGACACAGCTCAACGTTGGTTAGCTGCGACAAGACTATATGACCTTTTTCGATTTAAAATAGTATTTGTAATGAGTTTATTTATTGTATAAATGGATTTATGCACGGAGTCTTTTCCATATATATTAATCAGAAAATTAAAAAAAAAAAAAAAAACAAAAACAGAGAGGAAGAAGGTGGCTTAAAAAATGGTTTACTTTTAGCTTCGAAGCACAGCAAAGGTGCAAAAATTAAAAAAAAAAAAAAAAACAGAGAGGAAGAAGGTGGCTTAAAAATGGTTTACTTTAGCTTCGAAGCAAAGAAAGGTGCAGTTGCACAAAACTGTATATATATAATACCAATTTTCCAAATGTTACCTTTTATATGTGTGTGTGTATATATAACCATAAAGATTAAATTAGAAAACGAAAGAGAAAATGGAAAACGCTAGTTTTGCATGCTGCTGCTGCTACTGCAAAACCAAATTTCAGAACTGAAGAAAAGCAGCCCATGAATAAAAAGAACAGTTCCCAAATTTTTTTACTTATTTTTTAATCATTCAATTCATATAAAATAATGTAAAGTTGAAAGCAATATAATATAAAAGGAAAGGAATAGAAAGGAAAGAAAAGGTTAGTGTACCTGAATTTGATAGGGTCATTGGAAATGGTTTTGGATCTTTGAGCAATGGAGAGAGGATGGGTATTGAGAAGAAGATATTCAACTTCTCCCGTATCACCATTAAAGCCAATATTTTTGCAGCCATAACCGAAAGGATTAGCAGGGCCAGAAAGTTGCTTTTCAGGGACGGGCTTTGCAAAGAAGCTAAGACTTTCTTGTTCCATTTTCGCTATGGTTTCTTGCGAAACGCCATGGTTTATCACTTTGAAGAAACCAAATTCTTCACAGGCTCGAACGATTCGATTCTGCAACTCTGATCTCTTGTTATTATTATTTGCCAATGAGAGGTCGATTATGGGCAACTCAATGGCCTGGATTTTTTCACTGCGAATTGGGGTTGGAGATGCCACCACCATTTCTAGTAATGCTATCTATCAAAGAAGAGAGAGAGAGGTTTTTAGATATGAAGATGTGGAGTAACCGAGGAAGTGAAGTACAGAAGAAGATGAGTTTGCTTATTATGGCCTTATGCTATAAATATATTTGAGAAAGAAGAGAGAGAAGAAGAAGAATCTTGGAGAGAGAATGAGAATTGAATATATAATAATTAAAATATTTTCTTGGGAATTCGAAGACTTGAGGGTGAAGTACAAAATACAACTAGCAAGCAAATTCCTGTAACACCAAGTCGGTTGACTTTCTTCACTTTTTTTGACTTCAATATTATTATCATCACAACACATATTTCGTCAACATTTTCTTTTTCATTTTTTTACTGTAAATTAATCTTTTCTAACCTTTTTGATTTAAATTGTATTTTCGATGCGGCGTCGTCGTAGTATATATTATATCCTTGACCCGTAAGAAAGCATATCTTGAGGCAAAGATAATAATTTAAACAGAGAAAGAATTATTTATATTGGGTATATGTTTTCATTGTTGCATATAAAATTTAATTGACTTGATGTATTCAATATTTAATACGGGAAAGTAGATAAGTATTATCCAATTAAATAATTAATTTATTTATTATGGTTTGAAGGTTGACATGAGGGCTTGGTAGGTACTCATGTTTCAAGGCTAGCACTGCATTCCACGTGTTATTTAGGTTCTATGGGTTCAATAAAGGTTCGCAGCTGGGTATTAATTACACTAGTTCATGCATTGACTGAGGTTTTCTTCTCCGTTTGTGCCTCCTCCGCCTCTCGCTGTCTCGCCAATTCTTTTAAATACTTAATTCTACTACCTAGCAGCGCATTGGATTGGAAATTCTTCTCTGCCCATAGAATTATTCAACACATCTTTCCTTTACATCTTCGAGAATCTTTGACCCAGCATTATATATTTTGAAATAATTATATTTTAAATTACGTTTAAAATGAAAATTAACTATTTTCTAATACCCTATTAACTAAAGAAAGAATTAATAATAATTGGGAGGTAGGAAACAATAATTTACAGCACTAGAGTGTAGCATGAAAGTGATAGTGTTGAAATTGAGGTGACCAATAATGGAGGTGCATCAGAAAAATCTTGAAAAATAAAGTAATAATGGAGGAGGAGGAGCTAATATTAATTAATTAATTAATTAATTAGAATAATAAGAAGTGAGCAAGAAAGATACGAAACAATAATTGACCATAAGATTACTGTCTTAATGTGGTAATTTAAACAATAATAGAGGTAAATAAAAATGATTAAATTGAGATTAGGAGCACCTAATCTCCCACTACTAAAAATAGAAATACTTTTGGAAATTAAAATGTTTGTTGACTCTCAAAGAGGTAGCTTCTGAATTCCCATGCACATGATAAAGAAGCTTCTTTATTTCTTGATTTTTAATTAATCTCTCATTCCTTTTTTAGTCGCTTTCATTACTAAGCTCTGACCTATTCTTGTTCCGTGGAGGGTCCTGCCCAGATTTCTTTTTCTTTTTATTTTTTATTTTTTATTACTATATATATCATTTATCCATTTAAAATTTTTATTTAAAATTAATATTTCAAAGCATGCAAGTATTATATATTAAATAAATAAAATAATAGGTATTTTGAGGTAGAGATATAGATTGCAGTCCAGCAAGCAACCCAAAGTTATTTATTATGGGTTGGAAAGACAGGATAGAGATTCATGGAGGCAGACACAATTATTGGTGGACAATACATATACATTTATAGGTCGATTACCACCAATTAATTCATTCCATTTTTGTTAAATTGAATCATTATTTTTATCTATCAGGAACGTGAAGGTCCAATAGGAAACTTGATTTCCCCGTGACAAAGGAATAGTATCTTTCTTTTCTTTTTTTTTTTTTTAAATAAATAAATAAATTGTAGTTAGGAGATATTTCTTTTTCCATGACTTATCTCTATGTGAATGGTAAGTCAAACATTGCGATATTCTAACAACCCACAATGAAAAATTCATTTTAAACAAACAAAAAAAAACCTTTAATTCAATTTTTAAATTATGCAATCAAAGTAAATGAAAGTTTATTTTATTTGTGTTATATTAGTTTTTAAAATAAAAAGTTTGAGCAAACCTTTATTGGTACAACAATCATATTAATTAATAAAAAGAAAAAAAAGAAAAGGGATTGATGGTTATATATCAATGTCCCCAGCTACCATCATTCAAGGTTTTTGTTGGCCGTTACAACCTTACGGTATTATATTATATATTTATAATTATACGTTATTTGATTGATTTTCTCACTTGTGTGAAAAAGAGAGTGTCAAGTCCGAGTACTATCAACCATAAAGATCTTCATTAGTTTAGTGATTTATATATAGTGATCTCTGTTGTGTAATTCAAAGTGTTATTTCGACTTATTGAGAGTTAAAAATATATAAATTAAAAGATTGAAGAATTTGGTGAGCAGATAGAATATTCTAATGTGTTGAGGTTTTTTTTATTATTGATGAGTAAAGCCCGAAGAAATTGCTTTGGGGACATAAATAGGCCAGCCAAATTCTATATGGCAAAATCAAACTTTTTCAATTCATTCATTGGCCACTACATTTATTTATTTCTTTCTTTTGGTAGATAGTGATAGATACTTTAAATATATATATATATATATTTAAAAACTCCAAAATGACGAAATTCTGCAGTATATCGTAATAATATAACGGTGCTCAATTAATCAATGAGTATCATTTTCTTGCATCATTTATATAATAATAATAATAATAAAATAATAATAATAATAATATCCTTTTCTCTTATTATGCACGAAGTTCGTAAAAATAAATTATTAATTTTTCAACTTCTCTATTATTAGACGTCACAATAAATATATATTATTTTTATATAATTACATGAGACCATTATGTGTATTAATTGGAAGATAGAGTTTTCAAGTCATTTTCAGATTGAAACCTATGAAAAATGAAAGAAATTGACGGAATAAACCTAAATTTATTTGTGTTGCCATCAACAGATTGTTGACACTAAGATTTTTTTTTATTAGCCTAATAAAAAAATTAAACGACCAATCAATTGGCGGCACGCTTACCCATCGAATTTGCTCGAATATTTTCCAAAACATATAATATTATTTGGAGCAAGTGGATTATCATTCAACAATGACTACATAATTGACCAACAAATGGAATATTTTAAGTTAATTTCAAGATTGGGGTTACCTATTCGAGTGCAATCTTGTGAGTTTCTTCTATCATACATATGGATTTTTATTTAATATGGATTAGATTTGCTTAGACCGGTTCTATGGCTCCATTCGTAAGTTGAATTGAAGAAAATAAAAATTTTTATAAAAATGGGAATATTTCTAATCATGCGTTGAAAAAAAACACAGAAATATTAAAATTTTTTTATTTTCATTATTTTGATCCATAAGTGAGATATGAACCAGTATATTTCATTTAATGCGTGGTGATAAATATACTTTTAAAACCATCATATCATGGTATGTATGACACATTAAGAATTGATCCCCACCCTTCCAAAAATTCCCCCACCAATGATTGGTCATATTGATTTCAAACGACAACCTCTTTCTTTAAACATGAAATGATGAGTTGAGTGCGTTGGTGGTGGACCTGTCGTTCAGGGACCGCGAGTGAGAGGAGGCAATGGGCCGAAAGTGTGTACATTTGTTTAGCAACTGGTGGCTGGCCCAATTATTTCATGCCTTTTTTTTTTATTTGGCCCATGAATACCGTTTTATTGGGTCTGAACATGAGAACCACCCGGCCCAATTCAGAACAAGCAACCATTAGAGGACTTAAGCTAAGATGCAAATCTAATATTTCTAACGTACTACAACGTATTTAAGATAATATTAAAATAGGACCTAAGATAGCTTAGTTCTGTGATTGAATCGCACTAGATTCCATCATCGTGATTTAAAATAGAATCGTGGAGTCTGTATCTTAGAGATGACACATAGTCACTCCCGACCGCAAATGAATTAGTCTCTCATCTAATCGTTAAATCGATGAGAGGAGGATCACTCCTCCGGAACTGATATAAATAATTTTTATTAATTATCATTTTACTTTGTACAAAGTAAGGTGGAAATAAAGATTTTAGTGCGGGTATTTACTGTGGTTAGTTGAGGAAAAGGTAAAAAAACCCACGTGAAAGCACGATTGATGGTTGAAAATAAACAGTCTCCATGGAAAACCAAAAGGAGGAATAGGATCATAAAACTTAACAGGGTCAACAGGGTGGAAATGATAGGAAAATTATTCATTTCCTATTTCTAACTCTCTTTTTTTTTTTTTTTTTTTTTTTTTTTTTCACGATTGCATGGTTGGAAAAATAAACAGTCTCCATGGGAAAACCAAAGTAAGGGAATTAGGATCATAAAAGCTTAACAGGGTCACCAGGGTGAAATGTATAGGAAAATTATTTCATTTCCTATTTCTAAACTCTCTTTTTTTTTTTTTTTTTTTTCTTTTGCCTAACAAAAAATCATTCTTCAATAATGAAAAACATACCAATTTGTTAATTAAAAAAAAAAGAAAAAGAAAATAATAAAATTTCCTTTTTAGGCACCCACATTTTTTTTTTTTTTTTTTTTTTTTTTTGCTAAAAAAATCATTCTCAATAATGAAAAACATACCCAATTTGTTAATTAAAAAAAAAAGAAAAAGAAAATATAAAATTCCTTTTTAGGCACACAAAAGGTCAGTTGGCTTTTTTGTCCCCTCTCAAAAATCAAAAGGGTGTAAAAAATTTCATCAAGGCATTATCGATGAGAGTCATTGACAGACGTCATTTCCCTCTTCCTTTCTCAATGTATGTTCAAATTTTTATCTCCCTTGCAAATGCCTTTTCAAGAGTCTTCAATGGAATGATTCCAGCAAAAGTAAATATAAACCTAACGAGTGATGTATGTTGCCCAAGATGGTTAAAAGTTTGAAAAACAAGGGTCCCTGTGTTGGTGATACTTGTCACATGATATATTTATATATATACAAAAATATCTTTTTACAGAACTTGTGTCCGGCACAGCCACAGCCACAGCCACAGTAAAAAACATATAAAAAGACTATAATATCCTTGAGTAAACGTTAAACAGTTTTGTTGTTGCTGATGTTATACTGGGTTGAAATTATAAATACACACAGCTTTTATTCACAAGAAGAGAGGTGAAAATGGGTACGTAAGTTAAATAATTTTGGGCAATAAAAAAGGTATTTAGCTTTTTCCAAGCCCACTTGTGGACATAATCATTTTATGTTAGAAGTTATCGTTCTCTCTCTCTCCATTCTCTAACCACTTTTTGGTACTCAAAACTCTGAAAGTCAGTCTAAGGAGATAATAATTAGGACCAAAGCTTTTGCCTTGATATTTGAAAATATTATTTTGACCAATTATTTGCACTAATTTTGCATAAGATCCCTTTCTCCATCGATCTTTCTTTCTTTCTTTTGAAGTTGAGGATCGAGGAAGAAGGGAATGGTGATCTGAATCTCTCTGGACATGCAGGTTTAGCAGTGTAGGACATGAGGGAATAATCTTTCTTTTCATGTTATATAATTATGATTAAGCATTAATTAGCCATAATTAATATAGAATGGAATGATTTCATGTCAACGTCCCGTCTACATCTAACATTTAACCTCTTAATTTCATTATTACAAACCATTTTCACCAATCTAAGTTTACATATTAACATCATTTTCAAGACACATGTCCATTCTAAAGTTCTTGCAGGGAGGGCTAACATACATTCTATCTCTTCATCAAATTAATAATTCAACTATAAAAAAAATTAACATTCCAATGTTTTTTTTTTTAATTTTTCTTTTTGATGTTGACATGTTCCAAATATAAATATGGCATAGGACATTAGGAATCTTGACTAACCTCTGCACCCATGTGAGGATAAATTTGTTTCTTGAAATAAAATTAGCACTTAACAATTAATTGAAATTATCAAAGATGGTTTTGTTTTTCTCTTTTTAAATAAAGAAGTTTGAATTAACTAAAATGGCAAAGAGATGAAGTGATATACATTTTTGTCGCTTAAAATGCAAATGATATCTTATGTTCAAATCGGTAACACTGTGAGGAGCATAAGGACTACCAAAATAAGTTTCTGTATGTCTTGTATGTATGAAAGAAAGAAAGAAAGAAAGAAACAACTTTTAAAAAATGAAATATGTAAATATTACTGAAAACTTTTTCCTCTCATTTTCTCTCCCTTCTACATGTCTTTTATGCTCTTGACATTTATGATGGTGTAGAAAAATACTAACACTTTCTCAGTGAAGAAGGGTAGTCAGCTTTTACAAGAACACAACTTTCTACAGAGAGAGAGAGAGGGAGGGGGAAAGGTCCAATAATACAGTGGATATATATATTTGTATTGTACAAAAGAGCAGTCACGAGGAGAAGTCTTACACACAGATCTGAGAGAATATTTATTCTCTTATTCACTTCTCAGCCAACAACATATAAAACAACGAAACTGATGCCTGCAACACCACATATACTAACAATCTAAAATGATGGCCTCAACAGAATATCACAAAGATAGGGTTTTTATTTTTTTTATTTTTTTCTGAGAATAGAAGACAAAATACTTTTTATTAGTGGCTCTACTACTCTTTTCACAAACTCTGCCTCAAAAAACACCATCCGTAAGTAAATTTTACATGAAAGAAAGAAAGAAAGTAAACCCACATAGCAACAAAGAGCAGCTCCATGACTATGGCTTGCATGGACCTTGCAAATTGCTTTTTAATTGGGTGAGTTTGAGGAGAGATATATTTGTTTGATTCAAGCAGCTCAGGAGGGATAGACAAGGAAGGAGAATATGAGTTGGGCGGAAACGGGAAAGATCGGATTCTGAACTCTATATCAAGAAATTTTGATACAGAGTTCATGATAATATGAAAAACAGAAAAAGTGAACACAAAATGGGGTCTTACAAGGTCAAGAAAAGGTCTTACAAGGTCAAGAAGATCCAAAATAAAAATTAAAAAGAAAATAAATAATAGAAAAAGCTCAGGTAGGATAGCACCAAATCAAGAAGAAGCCACTGTTATAAAGTGACTTTCAGCTCCCAACTGGAAGCCGGCGAGCAATCCGCCACCACTTGAAGCGGCATAAATGGTGGCCTTGTTGATGTCGTTATGCATGAGTTTAGCTTCAAGATTGACTGCGTGCAAAATTGTTGCCATGTTAATAAGCATATGCAATTATATAAATCGGAAAAACAAGAAAAGAAAAGTAAAGAAATCGACAAACAAAAAAATTTTAGGGTTGAAGACAAAGCTATAAGAACAAGCTGAAAACTTTGACTTTAAAGTAAAGATTTTACATACCTCGAAGAAGCTCATGCCTCACTTTCACCATTGAAAGCTTCTCTCTCTCGCCCATGTTGAAAATGAAACATCAAGAAGAAGAAGTAAATGCAATGAGGAAAAAGTGAAGCGAAGGCAAAAGGTTTATTATAGGAAGGAAAGTGGGCTGGCTGGCTGCCCTGATGGACCTGACAGGGACAGGACCAAGGCCCAGAAAGAATAAACCGACTCTGGTGACGTCAGCTGCCCGGCCGACCAGTGGAGGGTAAATTAGTACAAATAACAGAATAGGCAAGGTAAATACCAAATAAAGGGTCAGTGATTAAGCCAGAATGTTATATTGTTGTTTACTTTGTAATTCTACTATAGCACGTCCGTACAATGGAAAGAAAATTAAGGAGCGTTAATGTAATGGCCTTGTGATTGTCCAAGTGGCAGCCTTTGGTCCGTTGGGTGGAATGAGTCAGTCTGCTCTTGTGGTTCCTATGAGTCGCACGTTTGGGTTACCCATTTGCTGATGCAAATTTTCCATGCCTAAAAAATGTCATCAATTCATTTCTTTAATTAGAAAGAAAATTACTTATGGTAAGGGAACATTAATATCATCCTCCCCAAAGAAAATAAAATAAAATTAGAGCAAATTAAGAAAATTCTTGATTATATAAATTGAATTCCAAATGCTGATTTAATGAAATTTAATTATTAAATAACACGAGAAGCAAATCAAATTATTAAAAATAAAATGAAAAAAGCCAGCTGGAGTAGGGCAAACAAATGGGGCAATGAGAATCTAGGTAATTGTAATACATTACTCCAACCTTAAAGTACCGACAAGTTATGAAAGATTTGTGTAATGAAATTTTGATTAAATTAATAAAAAAATGTTTAAAAATTAAGGGTTGTGGGGAATGGAACCTTACAAGGATGTGCGGGCAAAGGACGCATAAGCATCAGTCTCCTAAGATATGGTCAAATTAATATAATCACCTTCTCCAATTCCTTGGCCTGCGTTTTCTAAATATTAATATACGTAATTTCACATGGTTTGACCTCAATTCTAACTTGACGGGCCACCTGCAAATCTTTCTCTGCTTGTAGAATAATATTATTATTATCATCGTAAAACTTGGTCTTATCTTTGCTAGATAGAAAGTTACATTGTACTCTATTGTCAGCAGAAGAATACAAATTTTCCTTAGGTAAACATAGGCATGGCCACGGTTCCGGAACCGGCGGTTCCGGTTCCAGAAAAGCTGGAACTGGAACCGAACCGAAATTGGCCGGTTCCGGTTCCGGTTTGGAACCGTCCGGTTGTGGAGATAGGGTTGACCTCTCGTCAAATTCTTTAACTTGACGAGCGCGCCACCTGCACAAATCGTACTGTGCATACTAGCTTGTGAGAACATAAACTATTTTAGTGTATCATCGTAAACTTGGTCATAGTGACTCCATAAATTGCTAGATTATAGAGAAAGTTTACATTGTACTTCTCATTGTCAAGCTAGAAGAATACCAAATTTTCCTTATGGTAAACATTATAGGCATGGTCCACGGTATACCGAACCGGCAGGGTTCCACGTGTTGCGCGCGGATGACAAACACGCCTGTGTGACTGGAACCGAACCGAAATTGGTCTCGGTTCCAAGGGTTCCGGTTTGTGCCAAGACCGTGGCTTTACACAACCAACAGGTTTCCGGTTCCGATCCGATTACAAAAACCGACGGTTCCGATTGGTTTTCCGGCGAATCGCATAATTTTGAAATTTAAATTTTTAACATTACCGGTTTAACAAAAAAAAATATATTAAACATAAAAAATTTAAAAATACTGTTAAAAAATTTTAAAACTATCAAGACCCAACTAAAAAAAAAATTATTTGAAAACATAAAAAATTTAAAAATATTCACTAAAAAATTTCAAATTTTTAAAGACCGTGTTTAAAAAAACAATTTGAATAGATTTTTTTTTTTTTTAGTTTGACACCATAATGATTTTTAAAAAAAAAATTTGAATTTGATTTTTTTTTTTTTTTTAAAGGTTTGGAACACTAATTGCGATTTTTTTTAAAAAAAATTTGAATCTGAATTTTTTTTTTTAAGGTATTTGAACATAATTTGAAAAAAAAAAAAGTGGGCTTGAACTTTAATTTTTTTTAAAAAAAAACAAAAAAAATTAAGTTTTGCCTATCGTTTACTCCTCTGGGGTTTAGTAGCGAATCCCAAAGGAACCACGTAGTTCTTTACTTACCTTATTCAATGTCACCCTCTTTTACCTTAATTCGCTATTTGCACCACCGGTTTGATGTTCCCGTTGATGGACCCATCGTTATAAATAATTAAATCTTCATTTTTCGTTTTGGATTTTCTGGGCTCTTTAGTTCGGGCTTTAGGGCTCTTAGTTCGGCCTTGGTCCAATCATCCACGCATGATTGTGCTTCTAATGAATCGGGTGTCATACGAGATCGTGTTTCATCAAGTATGTTTCTTCTTTAACTAAAAGCTTGTTCAACCACAGCAGTGGAGACCGGAACTGCTAAAACTTGTTTTGCAATTAAATAAAGAATTGGAAAAGTATTTGTGTGACGACTCCACCAATCTCAAATTGGAAAATCAGTAACTGCATAATCATCACCAAACTCAAAAGAAGTGGTTAGATAATTATCAAATTCAGAAAAAGAACTCGATTCCCTTGTTCTTTTTTGTCTTTGTAGTAAAAAATAAAATTGTTGGGGCAACACCAACATCCACTACTCCCTTTGTGTGTTGAAAATTGTGGGTAATATTTAGATTGAAAGAAAGTTAGTAAATAGGAAGTAATTATGGTAGATGAACTAGAAACTTGAACAAATTCATTATATAATTGCATAATATTTTGTTTAACTTCATGCATTACTACATTTATATTAACATTATCTTCTACTACATTTATATTAACATTATCTTCTACATCAAGATTCAATACTTCATAATAAATAGTCAAATAATCACATAAAACATCCATTCTACATCTAGGATCAAATATAATAGCAACAAGATAAAGGGGTGCTATATTTTTAAAATAAGATAACCATTTTTTTTTCATTGAAAAAATACAATCTTTTAATAAATCATCATTTTGAAATTCTTGGAGTGCATTAACAATATTAATACACAGGTAAAAATAAATGAGATGTGGGATAATAAACCCCACTAAATTTATAGGTAGCATCATTAAAAATTTTTAAAATATCTAAAATTTTTGTACAAATAAAAATTTTTAAAATATCTAAAATTTTTGCACAAATCTCCCAATTTTGTGGATATAAGTTAATATCCTCAATATTATTAGTAACAAAAAAACATAATAATTCTTTATAAGAAAAAGACTAGTTTAGTAATTTATATGTTGAATTCCAACGAGTTGGGACATCCCTTGGAAAACGTTTTGGTCTTTTATTATTTTCTTTACAAAATTTAGCCCAACTTTTTACTTGGGGGATGTGTCCATAAATATGAAATAGCTTTTTTAATTGGAGAAAATAAATAACAATTTCCAAGGAATTTTTTTAAACCATCTTGTACACATAAATTTAAAACATTGCTTATGCACATCTTATATGAAAAATTATTTACCACCCAATATTTGTTCAACAATTCTTTTTAGTTCAATAATAGATTTCTAGTATTTGCAGATACAATTATCAAATGAAATTGAAAAAATTTTTTTTTTTCAACTTGTATTCATCTAAAATTGAAAACCATAGTTACTTTCTATAATATTTATTTGCTAGCTATTATGTTTATCAGTCAAAAAACTATCGGAAAACCAATTAAATTTCTTTTTTGAATTTTCCTAATCATCATCCAATCCTCAATGACATGTAATACCCATATAAGAATGCATTTGCCTCAATGCATCACTCCAAACATTCACAATCAAATTGAAACCTACGAATTTTCATATGAGAAAATAAAACTCTAATTCTTTTTTTCCTTTATTATACAAAGTGAAATATAGTCGTTTTACTGATTATTTCTTGGTACTCTTTTAGCACCAAGGTCAAGGATTTTAAAGGCTTTTTGACACATAATTATAAAACCTACTTTTTCACCAAAACTAAAAGGATAAATTTTTCCATATTTTCATTTTTGGCGCTAAATTCTTCTTTTTGTAATCATTTTTGCTAATTCTTCTTTTTATATTTTTTCAGAATATTTAAATAAAGAAAGGTTAGAAGCGTACCCGGAAATTTGTTGTTGAGACCGATCAACTACTATTTTTGTTGGATGTTTTGCCTCCAAATGCTTCCAAAATGATCCATAGCCGTCCGCTTATTTAAATTTATAAGATTTTCCACAATAATTGCAAATTATATCGTACATTTTCTCACCTTTGAATTTTCTTGTGAAATAAATGGAGAATATGTCGGAACTTTGTCTTACTCTTGTAACAATTTTTGCTCGTTGCTCTTGCTCTTGCTCTTCATCTTCTTGAAATTGCTCATTAATTAAAATTGCTCATTAAATTCGGATTCTTGAGTTGGAATATCCAAATTTTCATTTGGAAAACCCTCAAAATTACATTGGTCGGGAATCATATCATAGATGTCGTTTGTAGGGATAGATGATTCTCCAATTTTTCCCTTGCCCTTACCCGAATTTGAGTTTCCTCCACTTGTCCACTTGCCATTATATTTTATATACGCAAATAAATTTGGAAAATTGTGTGAATAAAAAACAATTTAGAGAGAATATTATATTATCCTTAATAATGTGAGAATAAATGTTAAGTTAGAAGAAAAAATTAAGAATTGAATTAATTATAGAGTATAGTAAAGTTAGTTTGTATATTTGTAGAGAGAGTAAGTTAGGAGATTGGTTAGTTTATATTGTAGAGAGAGTAAGTAGAGAGAGTTGAGATTTTGTTTAATGGAATTTGTAAATTAAAATGATTGTGTTGGTATTATATTAATTAAATCCAAAAATTTCATTTTTCCATTAAAACTTACCCTTCAAAAATCTTAGCGTTATGTAGCCGTTTGTTAATGACAAGGTTCGCAGAGGGAAAACGCGAGACAAGGGTCAAAGTGTAGAAGACATTTAAACAACAAATTAAAAAAAAAAAAAAAAAAAAAACAAAAAATCTGGACAGTTTCAACTGGGCTAGAACCGCTCGGGTTCGAACCGGGTTCGAACCTGGCGGGTTCTAACCGGCCGGAAACCGGCTGGTTCCATTCCGGTTATTACGACCGGTCTTATGGAACCGCCGGTTCTTGGTTCCACATTTGCACTGGAACCGGAACCGAACCGGAATTTTCCGGTTCCGGTTCCGTTCGTCCCGTTCCGGTCTCTCACCGTTCCTGGGTTGCGTTCCGGGCCGGTTCGAAAACCGACTGTGTTCCGGTTCCCGGAACCGCAATATGGCCATGCCTTAGGGGTAAGACACCATTGCTTAGCTTTTTGTTGAAACCGGCTAGCAATTTTTTGATTTCCTTCTCACCGGTTCCGGTTGCGGTTCCGGGCCGGTTCGAACCGACGGTTCCGGTTCCCGGAACCGCAATATGGCCATGCCTAGGTAAACACATGCTGTAGCTTTTTGTGAAACCGGCTAGCAATTTTGATTTGCTACCAAGAAAATCTCTTCTAGCTGGATACATATTTTGAGTCGATTCGCAAGCTGTTTGTACTCGAATTCGATTTACATCGAGTTAGAATCGACTCTTTAACCGAGATCGAACCTAGTAATATTTTGCTCAAAAGCTCATTCGAGCTTTTATATATATATATTTTTTAAGTCGAGTTCGAGTGTTTATCGAGCCGAGCTTTGATATTGAGAAATTCGAGTTTATTTTCATCCCCTGGATATGAGTATTACCACTTCACTACAACGAATCATTAGTTGCTATTTGTGTTATAGACACAAATGGAGGTATGAATAAAATTTCCATTATCATCACTCAATTAACACCTACTTGTCTCCATTACCTGTCCACCGCTTGATGGGTCCCCAATGCCCTTTTTGCTTATACAATACGTCCTCTGCATTATTATAATTGAATGCCATTCCTTGCCCATACCATAAGCTTTCCTTTTCTTTTTCAAATATTTTTTTTTTCTCACTGCTTTTGCATATATATACATTAAATATCTATTGACTTTGCACTCAAAGGGTAATGCCATTATGTCCCTTTTGTTGGGGTCAAAAGTTCATGGGACAGTCTACCTTAGCAGCAAGACACGTATTTATAGGAAATTGATAATGGAACTACTTAAAATAATTGACTTCACAAACTATAAACCCTTAAATCCTTCAAATGTGTCTCTTTTCATATTCTTACACTTTCTGTCAAGTATGCAATTTTATATTTATACTTACATAAGTACATGTCAATTGAGGATCACAGATACCATTTACGTACATGTAATTGAGAATGTACGTATAAAAAGAAATTATGCATTACAGCGAACTGGATCCGTGACCTCTCAAGCATACCAGAAGATGAACATGATCTGGTACGAGCAAATTGTAGTGCATTGGGTAGTGTAAATTGGGGAGGTGTGTGATGTGACGAAAGAGAAGGTGAATGAGGAGAATAAAGAAGTATGTTTGGAAAAAGAATCGCTGAAATACTAAGAGACATGTGCATGCACTTGGTGAATAATTGATGACTACTAGTAGCTAAACAAAGGGTTGATACTGATGGATTTAGAAGAGATGCATAAAAGCTTGAAACTTGCTGCCATGGAAATTTGTTTACATGAGGTAGGTTACTTCGATAATGAAATTTTCTATACCCAAATCGGGAAAAAAGGAGAGCTGAAAGATGTTTGCCATATGTACATGTCTGTATTTAATTTGTATGTGTGTGTCCTTGTTTCTTGGTTATCTGGAGAGGCCCTTTTTGTGAATGAGAAGAAAGAAAGAAACCAACAAAACCCTGCAAAGATTCTTGCTGAGCTCACTGCTTGAATAATTTGAATTTTGGTTCGGTGGTCCACCTACAGTTTCCTGGTATAATGCTACTTGATTGATGAAACCATTTCTTTTTCCTTGAGTAATTTAGGTTTCAACATTTAAACACCTAAGCTAATAATTTGTTTTAGTAACTGTTAGTGGTCAGCTAGCTTTTCATAAGAGCTTAAAGGGTGTAAAAGTGTTTCATCAAAACTCAAAAAGGAGTAACATTTCATAATTTGCACTCTCAAACTTTTAAATATTAGTATAAACACTATGCTTAAGGGTGTAAATGAGTCGAGTTCAAAACTTGGCTCAATAGAATTTAGCTCGTTCGAACTCGGCTCAAAACTTGACGAGCCTGAAAATTTTGAGCTCGAATTCAATTCTATAAATTTTAAGCTCGAAATCAGCTTGATGGGCGATATTCAAATAAGTTTAAAATAACTATTATAAATATGTATATATAAAAGCTCGATAGGGCTTGATAAGTTTTCCAATTGAACATCACTAAGCTCAAGCATGAGCTTGATTCAAACTGATTATTTACACCCCTCAATTATGCCACCGAATACTATAAATAATAAAATTCGTGAAACCGCTAAAAACTATACGAAAGGTTATTGCGCAATAGTACCACAGTGAAATCATATTTTAAAAATCATTTCTACTATGAAGTTATAATTTTTTCTATAGAAGATCGCTCTGTGATAAAGACAAAAATTTGAAATTTTGACATCTGCTTGGAAATAGAAGGTATGTTCATACTTGTATATTGTCTGTTGAGTAAATATTTTTATCAGTTTCGTTGATAGTCATAATCCTGGGGCTAAGGTCCCCTAGCAAAATTGACCGTGACTATGACTTGTCACTGTAATTAGGGCCACCCTGCATTCCCAATTGCCCATCTTCTTCTAATTAGTAGCACCAATAAGCACTGAAATACTCACATGAAAAAGCTAAGGCAAATGGTTTGTTCTGTGTCAAGTCGTTGTTAGGTATGTAAGTTAGAGCTAGACCTTGTCCTCTTTGTTGACTCTTTTATTATAATTTTGTACTCTGGGTCCAATTGTATGCAGATTCACCTTCTATTTGATATTTAAGCATAATGTTAATGACGATTTTGGCCAGAGGTAAAAAATTTTGAACAGACAATCTAAATATTACTTGATTTGTTCTATTGATTCAATTATTTGCTAATCTGGTATTGTCTCTATAATGATTATTGAGGAAATTACAATCTTCTAATAATATGATATTGTAATAATATAATAAAAAAATCTTATTGGGCCGACCTATATTATCAATTGACCAGAACTAGCCCAAGATATGAGATTGGACCATATGTAGCATTTATGGTTCACGGACAGTAACCATGTCCATACGTTTGGACCAGGTTTTAATATTGGTTCCTAGACCACCTGAACCTCTGTTTTTAAGTCCAACGATTCTCAAACAACCGGCCCATTTAATAAACCTCAACGGCACGCGCGACACAAGGGGCTTGTTCTTACAGTCGCTTCCTCCTTGTTTCCGTTTCAGCATCGTGCCCGTCACGCGCATAGAATGACCAAACTGTCTTTCTTTGCAACACGTGCAGGTCTATCATCTCTCCAATCAACATTGTTTCTTGTAATATTTAAATTTCCTAAATGCTAGTAATGATTGAAAAAAAAATCTAAAATTTATCTTAAAATCTTAAAATAAATATTAATAAAATAACAGACGATTCAGTTTTAATGACTTTTCTTTCTGTTCTGTCTGCGTGCTGCAGTTTTAGTCGAAAATGGCGTTCTTGACACTCTTTGTGTCAGCCGTGAAGATCGCTGGAGTTTTGGCAACCGTCACGATAGCTGCTAACGCATTTTCCTTCCAGCGTTACAGGAGGAAGAATCTCCGGAAGTTCAATTCACCTATTGACGAGTCCTCTGAAATTCTTGCGTCTTTTAATGTTGATGGTAAGCTTTCTGAAATCTCTATTCTCTTGTTAACTGCTATTTTGCTTTTTAGGGGATTTTGCATTTAGGAGAAAGGCTCTTACGGTTTATTTATAGATGGGAAATGATTTCAAGTCAAGTGACTCAATGAACTTGAACGACGATCAGCTTCTGCTGAGCTCTAAAGCAATAAGCCAAGTATGAATAGTAATGCACAAATAATGAAGTTTTTAACTTGCAAATAATGGAGTTCATTTTTGCTTTTTACTCTTGTTCATTATCAATTTTACCTATCTGCGGCTCATAAAACTGGATTGAATGCTAATTGGAATCATATAATTTGTTTTAGGATTAGTTTGTGTTTTTAATTGATAAAAAAAAAGAAACTTGCGATTATGGGAATCATATTCTGTTGCTTGTTTAACCCCTATGATGCTACGTAACTCTTTCCTATTGGGTTGTTTATGGAGTTGTTTGGCACGTCTCTTCATAAACTCATATAATGTGTGAAATCGAAGTGTGTTGTATTGCTTCCAGCTAATCGTTTTTAAGTCACTATTTATTCTTCATGGTTCTTGTCTATGCAAAAAGAAAACTGCATTTTGTAACAGCTGAGATTATTCTATTCATATTAGAAAAGGGATTCTCTGTATCTGCATGGGCTAGAAAGTTTATGAAATGAATGAGAAAGCCTGAGACGAATTGCTTTATGGTGTGTCTTGAAGACTTCTTTCATATTTTGTTTGTTGTAATGTTTGCAAACTCTGTATTTAATTCCTGTACTAGTCAAGATAATTACTACTATCTTTTTCAATGGTTTTTGGCACTTCATATGAGTTGAGCAATTTGCCTGCTAAGAAGAGGCCACAGAGATTGTGTGTGTGTTGGGGGGGGGGGGGGGGGGGGGGTTACCAGCTGAGGATTATTCGGTATTCATATTAGAAAGGATTCTGCTGTATCTGCATGGGCTTAGAAGTTTTATTGAAATAGAATATGAGAAGACACTGAGACGAAATTGCTTAATATGGTGTATGTCTTGAAGAACTTCTTTCATATTTTGTTGTTGTAATGTTTGCAAAACTCTGATATTTAGTTCACAAAAAAATTGGCTGTACTAGTCAAGATATATTCACTTAACTATTTCTTTTCATATTGGTTATTTGTGGCACTTCATACTTGAGTTGAGCAATTTTGCCTGCTCAAGAGGCCACCAAGAGATTGTGTGCTGTGTTGGGCGGGGGGGGGGCGGTTGTTGGGTTGCGGGGGGGGGGGGGGGGGGGTGTTGGGTTGGGTTGGTTTACATAGTTGCTTCTTGTATGTGTGGCAGCATTTGATAGACAAAGAATTAACTTTGCTGATATCAGATTGAGATAATTGAGGCTTGGTGCATTTCAGAGCTTTTGGCCAGTCTATCATACAAATTTATATCACTATTGTATTATTCTATGTTTTTCTGCAGAAGAAGAAAATGAGTTTTTCTTTGGATTGGCCACAGCGCCAGCCCATGTTGAAGACAAGCTCAATGATGCTTGGCTCCAGTTTGCAGCAGAAACTTGCGAAAATTCACCATCACAGCAGGGCCTGAAACCAGCAGATCCTCTGATGGGTTCAGCTACTGGTGATGGTGGGTCTCATCAAGCTTTTAAGAAGACAATGAAGAAGAAGAAGCATCTTAAGATAGCAATGGAAGCTATGATTAGAGGATTTGAAAAGTTTACAGAAGAAGAAGTGCCTGAGCCAAATGAAGAACGTCATCATAATGTAGCTGCATGGCATAGTGTTCCCAACCCGTAAGCCTATACTTTTAATATCTATTGCAATTTGATTCCTGAAACTTGCTGGTTGAGAAATTAACAAGAAGGTTTTCATAGGGAGGAGAGGCTAAAATTTTGGTCTGACCCTGACACGGAGTTGAAGCTGGCAAAAGATACTGGTGTCAGAGTCTTTCGAATGGGAATAGATTGGTCACGGATTATGCCAGAGGAGCCTGTCAATGGGCTTAACGAAGCTGTATGTCTGATTCTAACTGGTCCAGTGGGTTGTTGCTTTTGAATCTCACAATGCAAATCGTTGAGATGTGGATATTCAAATTTTTCATAAACAAAAACTGTCTGCAAAAACTTAACATTTGAAATAGTTAAGTAATATTTTTTCGCAGGTCAATTTTGCAGCTCTGGAACGATATAAATGGATCATCACTAGGGTACACTCTTATGGAATGAAGGTGATGCTAACCCTGTTCCATCACTCACTACCACCTTGGGCTGGTGAATATGGTGGCTGGAAACTCGAGAAAACTGTTGATTACTTCATGGGTTTTACTAGGTTAGTGTTTTATAAAAGTTTTAGATGCATCAATCAGGTTCTGCAGTGTTATTTTGCCTTTGGATACTCATTTAATTACAAAAAAGTGGTGTAATTCTTTCAAATTCTTTTATTATGTTTAATTTTCATTAATGCTTCATTTTCATTTGTTGTTTGTAAAAGAAAATCAACGTTCAGAATTGCACAAGTTATCCATATCTTGTTACAAAATTTTCTTGAAGGCTATTTAAATTATGTATATTGCTGTGATATTATAGCACTTGAACATGCTCCTTTATTGCAGGCTTGTTGTTGACAGTGTATCAGAGCTTGTAGACTACTGGGTGACATTTAATGAGCCTCATGTGTTCTGTATGCTAACTTATTGTGCGGGTGCTTGGCCTGGCGGTGATCCTGATCTACTGGAAGTTGCCACTTCTGCATTGCCTACCGGTGTTTTCAACCAGGCCATGCATTGGATGGCCATTGCACATGCAAAGGCATATGATTATATCCATCAGCAGAGGTTAATTTGTTTGCTCCATACTAATTCTTCCTGAAATTCTTGTATTAAGAAGTTTATATCAACCAACATGCTTCTTAGTCTGTCTTGTCCTTGTTAGCCTTACAAATAATGTTATGTATTTCATAATGCTTATTTGCTTCTGTAAGTAAGTCTTAGAAATTACTTCTGTTTCTTCAGGACGTCTTCAAATTCAATTGTTGGAGTAGCACACCATGTATCATTTATGCGGCCATATGGTCTCTTTGATGTTGCTGCTGTTTCCCTGGCTAATTCTCTTACCCTTTTCCCATATGTGGATAGCATATCTGACAAGTTGGATTTTATAGGCATAAACTACTATGGACAGGTTTGTTATTTCTCTAACCTAGAACATGGTGGACATGCACATTTAAGTCTGCTGATCTTTGATTTTGTCAGGAAGTGGTCTCTGGAGTTGGACTGAAACTTGTAGAGACTGATGAGTATAGTGAATCTGGACGCGGGGTATATCCGGATGGCCTACTCCGTATGCTGATTCAGTTCCATGAGAGGTATAAACATCTAAAGCTGCCATTCATCATTACTGAGAATGGAGTTTCTGATGCAACAGATCTGATCCGTCGGCCATATCTGCTGGAACATTTACTTGCTGTTTATGCAGCAATGACCATGGTCTTGAATCTTAACTCGACTTTTCTTGTTGTGTCAAAATTCTGTGTTGTTGGTCAATATAACATAGTGCTCGATATTCCTGTGGTTGATTTGCAGGGTGTCCCTGTGCTTGGTTACCTGTTTTGGACAATTTCTGACAACTGGGAATGGGCTGATGGTTATGGTCCCAAGTTTGGACTTGTGGCAGTTGATCGTGAAAATGGTCTAGCAAGGATTCCACGCCCTTCATACTATTTGTTTTCCAAGGTTACGGCTATCCATCTTTGGTTCCTCCATTGTTCTTTGCCCTCTTGTGCGCTTTTCCTTATTAATACTTCCATTGCTACAAATTCAGGTGGTGACTACAGGTAAAATTACACGTGAAGACCGGGCGCGTGCATGGAATGACCTTCAAAGAGCTGCCAAAGAGAAAAAGAGACGACCATTTTATCGAGAAGTTAATAAAAATGGTTTAATGTATGCAGGTAAATGGAGCAGTTGATATTTATCATTCTGGAACATAAGATCCTTTATCATTCTGGTGTTGAATTTGAATTGAGATCACTTATTATCGTATCATTTTTCATTTTTTTCCCATAACAGGAGGTCTTGACAAACCCATATACCGACCTTTTATAGAAAGAGATTGGCGATTTGGACATTATGAGATTGAAGGTCTGCAGGACCCATTAAGCCGCCTGTCAAGATGCATTCTTCAACCGTTTTCCATTAAAAAGAAAAGACATGGAAAGGATGAAGATGAACTTCTGCTCCAACCTCTTGAATATACTGCCTGACTGCATATTCTTGATTCTGTAAATTATGCTTCCTTGTGGAAATGTATTGAAGCTATCGGGTCTGAACATTTAGAGCACTGGTTCTCGGCCTGGCCCATTTTAGGCATCAAGGCCCATAGTCAAACCCAAACAAAAGAAGCCCAAATAAAACTTGTGGCCATGTGTGTAGAAGTAAGCCCATTGAAAAACAGTCCACAAAATAGCAAAACTGTTCGTTTCGTTCGGTTTCCGTAATTAGTAAAGTCGAATGAGCAAACTAATTTATTTATCTGTCACGTCAAGGACTTTCTTCTGTTCCTTTGGGATTATTAAGAATTTCTTGTAACTGTGAACGACCGGTCAGCTGCATTTCGGGTACTTACTGACTGTTGATTTGACTTGGTTGGAATTTGAACGTCATGGCGTTTTAGTTAGTCGTTTGTGACCAATAAATCGTAGTGGACAAACGACAAGTAGGGAAAACAAGTGAATAGTTGATAATTGTACTTAGTGGCAGTTGTCGTAATTAAGAGACATGACAAGGGTATTGATTGATATTCTTTCCAAAATTACAGCAAGTTAGCAACTGATGGTTTGCCGCTTTAGCTCCCGCCAGTACTCGTGCCTGTTTCAGCTTTCAATGATCACAAACTCGGAACACCTTCTCTCTCTCCTCTCTCTCTCTCTCTCTCTCTTAGGTTTTCCATTTGGTAAACTTCACCCTCTAAAACCCTAAACCTCCTCAATTTATACCAAAATGTCTCATCTTTCATATACACATTTCAACAAAGGCGACCAAGTTGAGGTCTTGAAGCGGGAAAATGGTCCCAGCACTTTCACCTACTACGGTGCCACAGTGCTCCGTTCACCGGCAAAGCAAAAGACCCAAATCCTTGTCGAGTACCACAACCTGGTGATCATTCAAACAGAAAACCAAAAACATTTCAGGGAGCTGGTAGATTTGAGCAGCGTCAGGCCAATGCCGCCAAGAGAGCTTAATGAGTGCTTCAAAATGGAAGATAGTGTGGATGTGTTTTGTGATAATGGGTGGCAAAAAGGGACTGTTAAGGATATACTAGAGAATTCTACGTATATTGTGGGCTTTGACGGGAAAAGCGAGGGGATTGTGGCTGAGCAAAACAATTTAAGGCTTCATCGTGAATGGGATGATGGCTCTTGGGTTCCACCTCTTACTGAACAAGTGTGTCTTTGTCTGCATCTGTTTGTACTTTGTGTTTATTTGCTGATTTATGTTAGTCTTTTGATGGGTTTGTTTAATTTGATTGCCTCTTTTTTTTTTTTTTTCAACTATTGTTTGCAGATTACAAGAAATTATTATATAGGACGAGATATTTTCAGTATTTATTTGCTTTTTGCGCTGTCATTGTTATATATAGTTTCTTGTAAAGGTTATGTTTCGTTTACTCTGCCATTATTGTTTGTAAAGTTATTGTCATTGTCGTGTTTCTTTTATGAATTTTCGGTTTCTTGTTTGGGAAACGTTGAATGGAATGCTCATCAATATATTATTAGGGAATATAGGTTTTTAGTTGTCGGTGCTTGACAAGTTGAAGGTGCCTTTATCTTCATTTGTGATTTTACTTGATTTTAATATGTTTCTTGTTTGGTGAGAACTGGAGTTGCAGAAGACATTCTCTCTGATGGGCTTGAAATCTGGAAAGATAAAGTTGAAGATCAAATGCAACAAAAGGAAGTCAGAGACAATGTTCAGACCAGGGACAGCAGTAGAAGTCAAAAGTGATGAAGAAGGTTATATTGGTGCTTGGTATGGAGCAACTATTATTGGTACAATAGGAAATGACAAGTTTTTGGTGCAATACCTGAACCTGGTAACAGATGATGAAACTGCACCCTTGAGAGAAGTGACAGATATAGCGCATGTTAGACCTTTTCCACCCTGTGAGCCATCAGATGGCCGTTTTAAACAGTTTGAGAAGGTCGATGCTTGGTTCAATGAAGGGTGGTGGGAGGGTGAGGTTTCAGGAGTGCTAAATGAATCAAAGTACATGGTTTATTTCAGCACCACCAAGGAAAATTTGGAGTTTCACCATTCAGTATTGAGGCATCATCAAGAATGGATCAGTGGAAAATGGATAAAGGTATCACTTTTAAATGCTCAGATTTTTGTATTTCTATTCAATTTCGTGCCGATAGAGTTCATAATTTGTAAAGAAATGCAGTGAATGAGATAGAAGGAATTAAGCACTTAATATTATTGTTTATGCACCTAGCCACTTTAATTTAAAAAGCAGTCCTTTGGGGCAGTTCTGGTGATAATTTTTTTTCCTAATGATAGTTTTTGCATTCAATCAATAAAATATTTTGGTGGACCAGCTGATGTATGCAGCTTATTAGGAATTAACTTTTTCAACAACAATTTAAATAATCGAAGAAAAGAGCAGATGAATTACCAAGAATGGAAAAAATAAATATTCAAATAATCATGTTTCCAACTTCCCACATTTTTTTAATTTGATTATGGTCTCAATATTTTGACATCTAGGGTGAGTCAATTGAATTGGAGAGACATGCGGAGGCAAAGTTCTGTATAGGGACAAAGGTGGAAGTAAAAAGTGATGAAGTTGGTTTCCAGGGTGCTTGGTTTTCTGCTGTCATTATCAGCAAGTTGGGGAATGACAAATTTGTGGTGCAATATCACAGTCTGTTAACAGATGATGGAAGTGCTCTCCTTAGGGAAGTGGCGAGTGCTTCAAACTTAAGGCCTTTTCCCCCTTCTATTTGCCGTGTGTATCCCTTCAAATTGTCTGAAATGGTCGATGCTTGGTATAATGATGGATGGTGGGTTGGTCGAATAGTTAAAATAGTTAAAATTCACGAGGACTTAAAGTACATTGTCCAGTTCAAGACAAGAGAGGAATTGGAATTTGCACACTCTGAACTGAGGCCTCATCAAGAGTGGATTGATGAAAATTGGTTTGCGGTTCCCAAGGTATGAATTTGACACTGAATTAAGTTCTGCTTTTCTTGGTTTTATATGCTAATTATTGCTTGTGGTGTATGTATATCATCTTCTACTACTTTAATATAGCAACTATTTCTTGAATAATCACTTGTATGTAATGAAAGGTACCGAAACCAATCTCTCTTTTTAGCAATCCTCAAGTATGACGCATGATGCTAACGTTGCATGTAAAGATATTGGAAATACCTTTTGGAAGAAACAAGTTTGCACTTGATGAACTCACTGCAACTATTTTTATGCTGTCATCATATAAGATGTACTGTATCCTGCTATTTAAATTAAAAATGAACTTGTTTTACTCTAGTTATTTATTTTCCACGAGTACTAATTCCTTTTTTGGGTAATTCTCTAATTGCCTTTGTTTTTCCCATTTACCCCACTTCTCTCTCTCTCTCTCTCTCTCTGACAGGATTGGGAGTTTTGATCCCCAAATGCATAGGTCTAGTCCAAAATGGGAATGCTGGAAGTAGCTTCATCAGTCAAGCATCTAATCAAGGTTAGCAGGAATCTGATTGTAGCGTTACTTGGTGTTCGGCCTCCAAACACTATAATCAGAGACGACTTTTATTTTGCTCACCATCACCAACCCTGTTACAGGGTACAATATACTGCTAACTCTTGAGCTGATATGTGAATATTTGTGTTAGTAATATATGACTAATTCTGCAAAACAACGACTGCCTGGACAGGTTATTGTAGTTTCGTTATCTCTTTCTTTTCTTTTTTTTTGGCATTAGTAATTTAATACATCATTTTCCAATGTTATTATCCTTTATTTTGCGTGAGTGATGAGGTAAAGGAAACATAACAACCTTTTTAAAAACAGAAGCATATTCGACGGCAATCAGAGCATAATCTATAAGCATATTCTTCTCTCCTCTTCAAATTTATGTGTATCTAACACGTGGTATTTTATTTTTAATCTTTGCTTACACTTGATCCAAATGAACACCTTATAATAATAATAATAATAATAATAATTTACAATCATTATAATCAAAGCTACCCACAAGCTAATTATTTGAATTTTTGTTTTATACAATTAATTTCACATCCTTTGGTTCATCCACTTCCTTCGCCTCTGCCTCCCCTTTTGCCACAATAGCTTCAAATTTGAACACTGATAATGGAAAAGATTTGGAAAACCCGGCCGGAGTCTTGAACGTGATGCGATTACGATCGTTGTGATTGACATAAATCTCACTTAAGCTAATCCAAATTAACAATTCCTTAGCCTTAACACCAGTCAAATTCGTGATTTTGTTACGTTCGAAATATGCAGTGACTTCGTTGTCATAGCAGATGACTACGCTCTCAAACTTGCAGTAATCTCTCTTCTTCTTATGCCTAAGCCAAAAGAAGCCAGTATCCTTAACGTACCCACATTCCTCTATCTCCTCTATTGTTAAGAGACCATTTGGCAGTCCTATTTCGGACAGAAGCAACATGAACTTCTCTCTGCAAGTCTCGTTCCCATAATAAACCTCTGCTCTTGCTCTGGCCTTCATGTCTTTTGTCGCCATGCACATCTTTGGTGCTGTTGACAGAGCATTATGGTACATACTGGATTTCTTGGTTTAATTTTCAAGGAAAGAGAAAGAAAAGAAAAGAAATATGAGTTTTCTGTTCGTGCGGGAAGGCAAAGACAGGAAGCTAAGGTGGTAATAATAGGAAGGAGGGTATTTCTCTGGGTTATTCAAGGCATCTGGAATATTTGCAATTGGTATATAAATAATGTGCGTGCAATCTTTGGCAATTCTTTAATGTTTTAGGAAGATGGAAGCCCGTTTAGATCTTTTTGTGGGTCCCATTGATGGGCTCCAGAAATAGCAGTACACGGCCCATATGAAAGTTTGTGAGACCCCAAATCAAAGCCCATCTTTTCTAAATGGCAAATTGGTCATTATAGTATTTTTAAAGGACATATTTTGTTCATAGATCTCCCATTTTCTTTCCCAACAACTATCTTTCCTCAGTCTAATCCCAAGATAATCAATTTAGCTTTTTAAGCAAAATCTCATCTTCATTTAAGTCCTTCCTGTTCATAATCGCCCGAGAAAATGAAAAAGCCTGTATAAAAATGCACCAAAATACGATTGCTTTTCTTATTTTTTTCTCATGTTCTCAAATGAAAATCTCTGAGCCCGGAAATCCGGATCAATGAAATTGAATTTCTGTCTTTCGCTGCCCATCTTGAAATTTTCCTCTGGTAAGCAAATCCAATAACTTTGTCTCATTTCTACAATTGGGTAACCGAGCTTTTGTTCCCTTTTCCCCCTTTGTTATTACTTTTGGAATTAAATTATGAATTCGAGAGATGGGATTTTTCCTGATGAAGTTGTTCTTCAAATTCTTGCGAGACTGCCTGTTAAGTCATTATTTAAAGCCAAAACTGTATGTAAACTTTGGTACAGATTATCATCTGATAAGTATTTTATTCAGCTCTATAACGATGTAGCTGCTAAGAACCCAACGGTATTGGTAGAGATTTCAGATTCATCAGAATCAAAATCTAGCTTAATCTGTATTGATAATTTAAAGGCTGTCTCTGAATTCTCCTTGGATTTCTTGAAGGATAGAGTGAAAATTAGGGCATCTTGTAATGGCCTTTTGTGTTGCTCTAGTATTCCTGATAAGGGTGTTTACTATGTTTGCAATCCGATGACGAGAGAATTTAAGTTGCTTCCTAGGAGTAGAGAAAGGCATGTGACTAGGTTTTATCCTGATGGTGAGGCCACTCTAGTTGGTTTGGCTTGCAATTTATCAATGCAGAAGTTTAATGTTGTTTTAGCAGGTTACCATCGTACCTTTGGTCATAGGCCAGATGGGACATTTATATGCTTGGTATTTGATTCGGATTCAAATAAATGGAGGAAATTTGTTTCATTTCAAGATGATCAATTTACGCATATGAATAGGAACCAGGTTGTATTTGTAAGTGGTGCACTCCATTGGCTAACTGGTAGTTCTTCATTTATTCTTGCACTCGATCTCAATTGTGATGTTTGGAGGAAGATTTCATTGCCGGATGAAGTGTGTTGTGCAGCTGGCAACCGGGTGTATTTGTTGGAGTCGGATGGATGTTTGTCGATTATACAAATTTCAGAGGCATTGATGAAAACATGGGTGATGAAGGGCTATGAGACTGAACAGTGGCATGTGGTTGATATGGTTAGCTTGAGATGCATTAGGGGAATGGTGCCTGGTATCTTCCCAATAAGTCAGACGGGTGAATGTGTTTTTCTGGCAACCCATAAGCAGGTTTTGGTGTATCATCGGAAGAGTAGGGTGTGGAAAGAGATGTATTCCGTGAAGAACAGCTCTACATTGCCATTGTGGTTCTCAGCACATTCATTTCGGAGCACAATCTTCTCTTGTAATTAAATTGTGGAATACATCTGACAAGATTTCTATACAGAATTTTATTGTTTCTACTTGCCCATACTTCTGTGCACTTGGATATAGTTCTTTGTTAAATCTACGTTATTTACCATGTTCAGTATGCAATTTTTATTTTGTTATGGTTGTTCTTGGAATTTTCACATTTTTATGAATAATTAGCAAGCCAAGTTTGCTACTTGTTTTTATGAATGTAAGTGCTGTTCTGTTGCTTCTCATTCATCTGCAGTCAAATGTCGCCATTTCATTCACAACTATAAGCAAGGGAAAAAGATTGCAACTTTCCATGTGCTCAATCACATTTCTTTGTGGCTCTTTGTGACATGCATTCTCTAGTTGTGGTTTCTTATATTATTTTCTCTCTACCATCTGCCTCTGTGTCTAGTGAGGGAGTATATTTTCCTCCATTTCTCTCTCTGTGTGGGTATGTATAATAGTGAGAATTGATGTCATCTCTTAGTTTACTTATCCATTAAAGGTTTTCTTAGCTAAAACAATTTACCAGTTGCATTTGTGTAACTTATCTAAGAATCCCTAGCACTGTCCTTTCCTTTTTGGTCCCTGTTTGTGCATTTGTCATCAATCTACTGTTGTATGGGCTTGCTCTACAAAATAATAACAGTCAATCTATTTATCTAAAATAAAACCGTATATGCAAATTTTTTTTTTCTTCAAATTAACAACTATATTTTACTCAATTATAAATTTATTTGATGGTGAAAGATGAAAAATTTGTGAATTTTTTAACCATTATTTGGTTTCTTTTACCCAAATAAAGGTTGAACATAATAAACATTTATGTATGACAAAAATATAATAAACATAATATCCATATATATAATACTCAAAATGAATTAGTTATTATACTCACCATGAATTAAAATAAAATATTTACTAAATAATGAGATTTAAAAATTTATCTTTATTGATATTAAAGATAATACTACAGGCTGCACGACAATGACTTCCCACTCTTCAACCATTGGCAAAACTACTTATTGAATGCCTTTAGTCATTTTTAATTAAAAGAGTTTAATTTAATCTTTAAAAAAAATCCTAAAAATTCTTTTTTATTAAACCCCTTTAATCATTTTTAATTAAAAAAAATTTAATTTAATCTTAAAAAAAAAAACTTTAATTGAAAATTCTAAAACAACCTTACTCGTGACATGTATTTACAAATTTTTAGCTTTAAAGAAATTGTCATTTTTAATTGAATTCAGTGAAATATTAATAATTAACATTATTGAGAAAAAATAGTTTGTCATAAATGAAGTATATATATATATATATATTGATTTGAGGCTAAATTGATTAAGTTCATTTCCCATTAATTAATATTAATGAAAATTCTTATGATAAAGAGAATTTAGACCGAAATCTTAGTTTATATATACAAATGTTTGAAATTATTATTTAAAAAATGATGAATGCAAATGTATTTTGGAACTAACAATTTTATCTACTGCCTTTGGAGCAAAATAATTTTCTTTGAAACTAAAGATGGTAAAATTGTCATCTTAAACTCAATTAACTAGGAGTTTAGGACAAAAAAAAAAAAAAAAAAAAAAAAAAAATGTTTGAAAAATTATTATTTTAAAAAAATGAATGGATGAATGCAAATTGGTATATTTTGAACTAACAATTTTATTCTACTTGCCTTTGGAGCAAAATAATAATTTTCTTTTGAAACTAAAGATGGGTAAAATTGTTCATCTTAAACTCAATTAACTAGGGAGTTTAGGGACCAAAAAAAAAAAAAAAAAAAAAAAAAAAGATTTAAGTCAAACCAAACACCATTTATCCACGAACCCTGCAATATCATAACCCGTGACCAGTACAAGATAATCCCAAATAGGATTAAAAAAAAAAAAAAAAAAAAAAAAAAAGATTAAGTCAACCAAACACCATTATCCACTAACCCTGGCAATATCATAACCTTGACCAGTACAAGATAATCCCAAATAGTGATTACGGTACGGTTACTGAGCAAGCCAAACAGACACAAACAAGAAGACCATCCATCCTGGATGATGATGATGATGTTCAGAACAGCTGCGTTTACCGCTCTGTGTTACCTCTCTCTCTTTCTCTTTCTCTTTCCTTCTATTCAGTCCCAATTTCTGACGATATTTTTAGGGCTTTTATTGTCTTAATCACTCATCTCTGGCTATTGGGTCTTCCTTTATTTCGCTCTCTCCCTTCTAGCTGGTAGCTGTACTCAGCGTAGCTCAAGGTAATGTCCGTACTACCATATTTATTTATTATTTATAGAGGATTGGAAGTTAAATTTGTTAATTTTTTATCTATCATATTGGATAGTTTATAACTGAGTTTTTCATTCGCTGTCACCGAATTTGGGGGTTTGGTTCTCAAATGGGTTTTTATTCGTTTTCCTATTCTCTGGGATTGAGGCCACCATTTGGTATATTAGTGCCTTTTTGTTGGGTAAGGACAATCATGACCTCCAAATACTGATCTGCTGCAGTTCTTTGTGTTGGTTTGATATTGTTAGCTTGACTGGGGTGAAATTCTTGACTATGTTGTTGCTTAATTTGTCATTTGGTTCATCTTCTATCCGTTTGGGTTCGATAAAACATTTATCATCATAATATCCATTGTATAGTGACTGTAGTAATATAGGGCCCATTCAAATTCATGCGAAGTTCCTGTTGTCCACTGGTTCTACCTTTACGTGCAGAAAGCCTGTCTGTCGTTAGTTTGGAGTTCACGTGTCGTGCTATTGTTTTCACCCGGTTAACGAAAAGTTTGCTTTATTATTTGGGATAAGAACTTAGTTATATGGCTGGAGGTTTGGATTTATTAACTGTTGAAGTTCTTACTTACAAGCATGCTTAATGCTATTTTTGATAGACTTACATATTGCAGTTATGCATTGTGAGGTTTGCTTTCAACTTAGAGATCTTGCATCATGAAGTTATTTTATGATATGGTCATTTAAAAAACCTTTGAGGAGTGTCTTGCCTTCTTCTAGATGTGATTTACTTCTTATTCACCAACATGCTTTTCTTTCATGACAATATATTGGCTGAAAAGCACACCTATATCATTTACTTTTTGAAAGTGCGATATTTTGAAGCCTAAAACACCATATCTTTTGCATGTTCTTTTGTTGTTGTGTACATTTTTAATTGCCAATGCCAAGATATGTTCTAATAGAGGAGTTCAACCATTAATGGCCAAGTTTTTATAAAAGAAATATATTAAAGTTCCTGCTCATTTTTCACTTAACAGGCTTAACTGTTCAAATTCTATGGTGACAGGTTATGATATTCACATCATATTAATGTTGCAAGTCGTGATTCTCTTGATAGAATTAGAAATGAATTAGTTCAACTTCCTTGTCAAGAAGTACAATAATATATTAACTGTGATGGCTCGTAAAGGTAATCAACAGAGGAATGGGGTGGATCGCCATACTTCAAACCACAAAAAAAAGGTTTCAGATTCAGGGTATGCAATTCCAGATCTGAAAGGACAAGGAAAAGCTAGTGAAGTGAAGGTTTTTCCTGGAGAAGAAATCCCAAATGGTAATCGGCCTAGTAGTCTTTCTACAGATCACAAACCTAAGCAAAATTCTGGAAAATATCAGAGAAGAGAGGAGCAAGGTATAGATCAAGAGCAGGATCCAGGGGCGCCAGTGTCATCTGGGAATAATTCAGGGGATTGCAGTAGTCCTTTTATGCAAAATTCAAGTATAAGACAAGGAAATGGAACATTACCTGGAAGGGAAAGTAGTCCAAAACTTGCAAAAAATGGATTAAACTACTTGCTTAATAGCTTGCGTATGAAAAAGGTGTTGGAAAATGTTGAGTTTTTAGGAAATATGGCAGTTAGAAACTTGCGGCCATCGACTTTGTCCATATTGAAGGCAGCAGGTGAATGGCTGGAGAGGCAAGGGCCGGTGTTTGCTAGGTTAACAACCAACATCTACAATGCTCGTGATTATGTTAAACTGAAGGTTGAGCAAGCGTATCCTGTTGTTTTGAAATGGCTCATTAATTTCGGGAACATAATGCTTCTTCTGTCAGTGGTTTGGTTGGATTTCACTCTTAGAGGCATTGATTCCTTTTTACGGCTTGGGACAACATCCTTTTTTTCAGTTATATGGTGTAGCATCATGTCAGTAATTGCAATGGTTGGGTTGTTCAAGTTTCTGATCGTTCTGGTAAGCCTGGTTATGCTTAATCAATTTGATATAACCTTTTCATGCATCTTTCTACATGCTTTCTTGAATCCATACAAGTCCATTAATGCCATTGGTACAATTGTCTACCATGTTAGGATTCTTGGTATATCATTGCACACTCTCCAAAATAATTGCCAACTTGACATGGTTTTGCTGCTCAATGCTTTGACTTTTGTATTCCTGAGGAAGGTTGCATCTGGGTATTGCTTCTTTGAGTAGTACACCAAAAATAACTCTGTTATTGTATCATTGTGCTTTCCAGCTCCATGTTACATCCTCCAGAGTTTCTGCACTGCCATTTTTCTTAGCTGAACTATCACTTATATGCATTAATCCGTGATAAATATTGGGTTACTCAGGCCATAGCTGCATTTGTGGGAGTATTCATCGGTCTCACCCTTGGACTTTTAGTAGTTGCCGCTTCTGGAACAGTTTTTTTATGGCTTTATGGAAGTTTTTGGACAACAATATTTTTCATTCTTATTGGAGGTAAATCTTTTTGCTATTTTCCAAAGCATGTAACATCTCCTTGTTTGATTATTTGTCATGGTTTGCTAATTTTAGTGCTTTTCCCCTCTTTTTTCATTCAGGGTTGGCATTCATGTTGCGCCATGAACGTCTTGCTCTTCTGATCACTACTGTGTATTCCATATATTGTGCATGGACATATGTTGGATGGCTTGGCTTACTTTTAGCCTTGAATTTGTCTTTTATCTCAAGTGATGTTCTGATATATTTTCTAAAGAATAACATGAACCAACGCGGAAGATCCAATAGATTCCCCGAACAGACTGCAGGAGTGGAAGGTCAATCAGGCTTCTCCAATGGCGAGCCTTTTCATGCTTCTTTCTCTGATACTAGCCCAGGGTCATCGTCAGATCGTAGCCCTGGAGTCCCTTCAACCAGTGGGGCTGATTCTGAGTTGACTTCTGAAGAAGAAGTTATTCGGTTGTTGAACTGTACTGATCACTATTCAGCGTTGGGTTTTTCCCGCTATGAGAATGTGGATGTATCTTTACTAAAGAGGGAGTATAGAAAAAAGGTATATGGCATTTCTGCTTACTTGTTAAACTGCTTATGATTTGACATTCTTTTTCAAATTCCAAGAGCCTTCTAAATCTGACATAGTCAGTGAGCTGATATCTAGTATTTTGAAGCTCTCTAGCAGTTGGTTTACATTCTTCGCCCTGTGCTGAATCTTACTTCTAGCTGCGCAATTAGATATGCTTGATGCTTCCATGAGGTTCAAATTATATCTTGTGGCTTTCTAGGGATATTGACAGATACTCCTGATACCATTTTATCATCAGTGAACTGAGAAAAATTATTTGATCTTCAAGTGATTGTTTTTATTTGTTTGTTAGGCAATGTTGGTTCATCCTGACAAGAATATGGGAAATGAGAAGGCTGCAGAAGCTTTTAAGAGACTTCAAAATGCGTATGAGGTAAAGTTATTGGCTTCAATTTTTTATTGCACAAACAAATGCTTTTGTTTGCATGTGATTTTTACTCGACAATAGTGGTGGTGTTTCAACATCTATTAGGTTTTGCTTGATTCCTTGAAGAGAAAAGCATATGATGATCAATTAAGGAGGGAAGAGTTGCTGAACTATTTCCGCAGGTCTCAAAGCACTTCTCAGAAGGTTTAAACATATATCTCATCTCTTTTGTTTTTGTGTTCTATGTTTGATAATTGACTACAAATTCCTTCTTGTTTCCTTGCCACTGGCATATCAGTATATCTAATTCTCTAAATAAACTCATATTTCATTCATCAATAGCAAAATTAACTAACTACTTTATTTGGATATTTATGATAACCTTTAGACTATTCCTTATCCTATTAGGATTAGTAATTACAAACTTGGAAAATTTTAATCAAATATACACTGCAAGGTGAACTATTCCTCAATTAAGGAAATATACACTGCCAGGCCTTTCACTTTATTTTGTTCTGCATTTGCTTGCCAAGCCTCACACTTTATTTTTGCTTCCAATGCAATTTCAGAATGGAGAGCGTAGTTTTTTTGCCTCTGGATTTGGTCATTCAGAGGCTGAAGATGAAGACCCTTTTGGAGAATCAAGACGCATAGCTTGCAAAAGGTGCAACAAGTTTCATGTCTGGGTACATACAACAAGGTCAAAATCTCGAGCAAGATGGTGCCAGGTTTTTGTTTTTCCTCTAATTATGCCCTTGTTTTTAATTATCTCACTGTTTATCTCTCCTATTTCTTGATAAAATCAGTATTTAGCACATTATCATTGTGCCAAAAGCATGTCCATTTTCTTATCCCTAATGACAAGAGAATACAGTTCTAGCATGCTTAGCTTTAACTCTGGGTATTTTGCTTTCATAGGATTGCAAAGACTTCCACCAGGCAAAGGATGGAGATGGATGGGTTGAGCAATCATCTCAACCATTCTTTTTTGGATTATTGCAGAAGGTATGTACACACTCTTTTTTATGTGCACTAGCCAATTCTTTGTTTGTGAAAATGCAGAAAAGGAATAGCTCCTAATAATTACTCTAATTGAGGGGTAAAGATGATCCTCTTTTGATTTGTTGAATTATGCTTGTGCATTTTTGAGAGTGTTTTTTCTCTGCAGGTTGATGCTCCCACTGCATATGTTTGTGCAGATAGCAAGATATATGATGCTACTGAATGGTATATTTGTCAGGTAAAATCAATTTCTTCTCAATTCATGAATTAAGACTCATTTCCAGATCTCTGCCAGTCATCATGAACAAGAGTACCATGATTGTAGGCATAATTAGTTCCAGACAATTTAATAGTTTTATTCAGCAAATAACATTTGATCCTGGATTGTGAGTAGAATAATTAAATTATTTCATTTGGGATGTCAAAATGTTTGTTCAACTGCAAGTGAATAAAATGATTTATGCGAATTGAAAATTAGTTCAAGCGCAAAAATATTGAGTGCTGTGGGTTCTATGAAAGATGAAATGAATTTCCTCTTCTGTGGAAATACCTACTTGTATATGCTCTCATACACTGAATGTGCACAATGTTGAATTTTGATGCAGGGAATGAGATGTCCGGCCAACGCTCACAAACCAAGCTTTCATGTCAACACCAGTGTTACTACCAAGCATAATACTGGGAAGGGACCAAGCTCAGGACAAAGAAGTGGCTGGACGTCAGCATCTAACATGGAAGAGACTATGACAGAGGAAGAGTTCTTTGAGTGGTTTCAGAATGCAATGCAAGCAGGTGCATTTGGTGTCAGTACGTCTGCCGAGAGCCCACCTGCCAAGGCCGGAAATGGTCCTAAGAGCAGTAGCAGTGGAAATAGCAATACCAGTGGTAATAAAAGGAAGAAAAAGGGCAAAAAGCAATGGTGAAAGTTAATATTTTCAATTTTTTATTTTCTAATTATGTAAGCATATTCCAACCCTATAAAAAGGGCTTATAAGCTTCAAGAAAGGCCTTTTGTCTTTTCTTAATGAGGGCCTGAGGAAAATTACAAAAAGAAAATTAGTTTGAATCAATTGAGTTGTTTTCTGCATGTGTAGAAGTCCCTTAGTCTTCTTACTGCACTGTTCGTATAGTGTCTGTTGTCTCTAGGCTCTCTCTCCCTCTATCCTCCATAGAAAAGGGCCTTTGGCAGATTTGACGCTAATGGATTAGGGAGATAGTGTTAGAAAAGAGAGAAGATACAGAAACTCATCGCTATGATTATATCTGTAGCAACTCCAAATTGAGCCATGGATCGGATGCCACTGTAAAGAGAGGTCGCAACGACATGCAGTGAATAAATTTACAGTAACTATATAATAATTCATGTGTATTTACCTATCCATTTGGTTTTTAATGAAGGAAAAAATTAATTGAATTTAAATTTATTGTCGTGTATGTATGTTTGAAACAAGAAAAGAAAGAATTACAGCCTAATAATATCATCATTCCATTTGAATATGCATTACTATTTTCATTGATCGACTTTTGCTCTGTCAGATTTATTTGGAAGGTTCGGTGGCCGAAAAAATAAAATAGTTTTATGGTAATTGATTTATTTAAAATTAATGATTATTGACATATTTGTAATTTGTAATTTGTAATCTGTCTTTGAAATGGAAGTTTAAAACGAAATTTCCTAGGACGAATCCAATTCTCTCTTGAGAATTTCTCTTCCCCATGATATAAAAAAAATGAACAGCTTTTCAATTTCCATTTGCCGTTCCTATGTCAGACAAGCATGTGCAGACCCCTAAAGTACAAATACAGCCCTCTGGATCTTTTAAATCACCGAAAAACCCCTACTATATATATCTCCAGTGCCAACAGACTTAAAACAACGTTTCCTGCTCCTGGTAAAAAAACATTCGTCAATGGAGACACTCCTGCATACAACGGCAACTTATCCAAAACTTAAAAATGTTAATTGTAATGGTTTTAGCTGTAACAGAACAGGAAATGGGTATTCTTCAAAGGGGCCATTCATCTCCCAAAAGCTTTCACTTGCAAATGGGTACTCTTCAAAGGGGCCATTCATCTCCCAAAAGCTTTCACTTGGGTTGAGGAAATCAGTAATTGTTGGGGCCAAAAAGAACAGGAACAGCAAGAAGGAAGACAGTCACAGCTTCATACCCAAACCAGATGAGGCCACTGGACCATTCCCCGAAGCGGTCCTGCTTAAAGAGGTCATTTTTGTGTAACCCACTTCTTTTTCCGTTATTCGAACCTTATCTTATTTTCTCTCTGATTTTTCAGTTGTCTCGTATTTTCGTCTGCCTTTAAACTATTCAATAGCAAAAGGATTTCGCGAATAGATGCGATTTTGAAAACTTAAAATTTTAAAATTCAGTCTAACTTTTTGAGTTTGCTTTTGGTGTTATTATTAATTTTTCCTTATTTAGTTTGTGATTTGATCTTGAGATGGGTTTTTCTTTGGGTTTCAGAAAAAGGTGCAGGAAGATGGTAAATTTATCCCTGAGTTCGCTGACGCTGAAGAGGGTAAGTGTCTCTAATTCGTATGTGTGGTTTTATTTGGTGAGACTTCTCTTATAACTTACGAAGGTTGAGCTAATACGACATTCATGGATTTGCAGAGAAGCTCTATGAATATCTGAGCCTTGAGCTAGAGAGTGAATTGAATGCGGAGGAGCGTAGTAAGTGTGTTCCTTCTCATCTCTTCTTGGTCTCTATGGTGGTTATAAATTTCTATAAATTGGATGTTAAATGATTTCTAGTTGCTCATCACTACTGTCGAAATTGTGTTGCCCACCCCACTCCTCTTGTTAAATTTGATGCGACACAGGGCGTTAAACCATTGTCTCTTATTCACCTCAATCTTGATTTTAATCTGTAAGGCATAGATTTGCTTAAAGCCATGTAATTCATAGTTATATGTAAAATTATGGAAAATATTGATGGAGGTTTTTAACTAGCCTTGAAGGAAACATGTGTGCTAATTTCTTGTGTATTGATGTCTCCCTTGTTGTGCAGTTCGCCACTATGAAGTGGTTTATTTAATCCATGAGAAGCATGCAGAAGAGGTTGGCAAGGTCAATGAGAAAGTTGAAGGTGACAATTTGTGCTTCCATCTTTGTGTTATGCTTTTGCATTCTCACTCCATTTTATTGAAAAAGTTTATTAACACAATTGATCTATCTGTAATCTGCCTCAGTAACTCAATTACAAGTTCCTTACAAAAGAACCTGATTCTAGGTCTGGGTGCTTCTAAAGCTTCCCTCTATCTGTTTTCCCAAGTTGTTTAGGCATACCTTTATTGCTTTCATTAAAATGTTGACCCTAACTAGGACATGCCTGAGAACATGTTATGAAAGATGGATAGGACACTGTTATAGTCATTGTAGTACTTTGCATGAGCGTAGAAGCGTGTTTGATATGTTCTTTTGATTTTGCACACTCCTTGGTTCTGATTTATCATTTCCTATCATTTCATCGTGAACAAAATATGACTTGACACATGATTGGGAAGACGGTATGGCTCCATGAGTATGTTGCTTAGGATATCTTTAGCTATTCAGATTCTTGTCTCAATAATCAAAATGCTCTCGATCAGGTTGCGAATGGTGTCTATATTTGCTGGGACCACTACACTCTTGAATGTTGTATTTCAATTCTGTAATCCAATTTTGTTGACCTCTTAAACACACATTGCAGATTTTCTAAGGGAGAAGAAAGGTAAGATATGGAGGCTGAATGACTGGGGAATGAGAAGGCTAGCATACAAGATAAAGAAAGCCACAAATGCCCACTACATTTTGATGAATTTTGAGATAGAAGCTAAATGGATCAATGACTTCAAGACTATGCTAGACAAAGATGAAAGAGTTATTCGACACCTTGTGATAAAGAGAGATGAAGCTATAACAGAGGATTGCCCGCCTCCACTGGAGTTCCACACTTTGCGTGGGGGTATGGATGATAACGACGAGGACGACGACGAAGACGACGATTTAGATTATGATGAGGATTGGGATGGTGAGGGTGAGATGGAGGGCTATGACGATGACACGGAAGATGGTATTACAGTAATTAACAGTAATGATATTGATGATGGTAGGGATGATCAGAATAATAAATCAATTCCTGTAAATGACAAAGGAGGAAGAAATCAAAAACGAGAGAAAGTAGGCAGGTAGTTTCTTTATATTTCAAGCTCCTTTGCATGGATTGAGAGGCTCTCAGCCGAGGTTGATGTAGTAGTTAGTGGCTCTATAGATTTTGCGGGTGGTTCTACAGGTTTTGTCCTTTTTCATGTATAATGGGGTAGAACAAGCTCATTTGTTAATGGTATTTTATAAAACAAATATCTTGTCAAATTATTTATATACAAGTATGTGTTAATCCCTATAACATATAAACTCATAATTATACAAGACTATTCATTGAACCCATATCTAAAGAACACGATTGTTAACCTACAATATTATTTATATGCAACCCTGCACAGCCCATTTATGAACCAGAAACCAGTTGAAATGTGAGTAATTGTTTATGTAAAACTTAATTTAGAAAAAAAAACAAAAAAAAAAAAAATTTATAATCGAAGAAGGAGAGCAGCACTGTAGTAAAGATTACAGCTTTTTATCATTTACCATCTCTCTTACCAATGCAGACAAAGTCCGTTAAAGCTTAAAAACAGCCCGCTTAATTCTCTTCTGTTGAAAGCTACAAATCCCAAAGTGTACTAATTCCATTTTTGAGGGATCTTTCTACACTTGTACAAACTGGACACTGTTTAATCTCTCTATATAAGCAATCTTGAAGGTGAAGCTTTGCATCACTCGGCTGACAACAAAAAGAAGAAGAAAAATGGCAGCATCCGCTTGTATCACCGTAGCCACCATTATTGCTTCTTTAATCTTTCTCCTTGTTCCAACCTCTTATTCCTATCCACTGATGATAAAAGCGTTGAGCGACTCTTCTGTCCCACTTGATGATGTTAATCTTCTTGAATTTTCTCTAAATTTGGAGTTTCTAGAAGCTGAGTTCTTCTTGCATGGGTCTTTGGGTCATGGTCTGGATACTTTTGCTCCAAATTTGAGCATGGCAGGCCCATCACCAATTGGTGCTAAGAGAGCTAATCTCGATTCTTTTACTAGGGATGTTATCATGCAATTTGGTTGGCAAGAAGTGGGACACTTGAGGTTTAATCTTTTCTCTTTCAAATTTATATTAATCTTCCTTTGCGTATTGAAAATCTGACTCTTGTTTAATCAAACATTGAAACAGGGCAATTAAGAAGAGAGTAAGAGGATTCCCAAGACCATTGCTGGACTTGAGGGCAGAAACCTTTGCACAAGTTATGAACAAGGCATTTAAGAAGACACTATCTCCACCATTTGACCCTTATGCCTCTTCCCTCAACTTCCTTCTCGCCTCTTACATGATTCCTTATGTTACCCTCAATACATACGTTGCAGCTAACCAGAAACTTGAAAGCTCTTCTTCAAAGCAGGTAAAAAAGATTCTTTTTTTTTTCTAAAACCCATTTAAATTTCTCCTCAAAAAAAGAAAAGTTTTCCTGAATATCTGTGCGTGGGTATATTCAGCTGGTTGCAGGGCTTTTGGCAGTGATATCAGGGCAAGATGCAGTGATAAGAGCATTGCTGTACAAGAGAGCAATTGAGAAGGTGGAGCCATATGGAATATCAGTTGCAGAGTTCACAGATAGAATTTCAGAACTGAGGAATTCGTTAGGAAATGGAGGAATAAAGGACGAAGGGCTTGTAGTTCCAAACAGTCACGGAGCAGAAGGCAGAATTAGAGGAAATGTGTTATCTGGAGACCATAACTCACTTGGATTTGCACGATGGCCAGAAGAGATTCTCAGAATTGTATACTGCGGAGGAGATGAACATGTTGCTGGTGGTTTTTTCCCTCAAGGCGCTAATGGCAGAATTGCTAGATCCCACCTGAGCTATAAAAACTATGCTTAGTATAAACATTATTTCAATAATATTGTTTGGAATATGTTTTTTGTTTAACATGTTTCCTGAGACTGCAATAAAAAGTTAGCTCTTTCTTTTGGATTTCTGAAATTCCTTTCTCTTTCTGTGGGTTTAGTTTTGTTTGTTCACAAGCTTAAAATCTAATTAAACAATTGGCTCATATCATTGCTCTTTCAATCATCTCAATTGATTAGTAAAGAAAACTGGATTCAAGATTATGTTTAATTGGTATAAATTACTTTATTTGATTCGAACTCATATGAACATAAAAAAAAGATTTTGAATTACTTTTATTTCTGGAAACTGAATGTTCTTCTGGTAAAACTTTAAAATAAGTCCATCTGGAATCCTATGAAATTTCTGTAAGTGAATTATTATATAGTTGTTATACTATAGTTACATGCATTAGTTAGGAGTTAGGACTTACAATTTTTAAAAATTACTCCTCAGCCTGATCATAATAGTTATTATGTGATCCAACATTAATCCTTACATACTTGCCAATTGATGTATTTAAGGTACATTATTTATTATTTGTCAAACTATTTAGTTCATTAAAATTTCCATTTAATAGATTTAAAATATCAAATCTACTCTTAAATGAATTGGCCAATCAAATATTTTTACTCTCTTGTTGCTTTGGACTCCATAGAAAAGCTCAATCTTAACAAACCCATAAATGCATAAAAAGAAATAGTATCATTAATTAAAAAATGAAGAGTCAAACAAACAAAGTTTCAAAATTAATATCTTTCATGGAATGAAATCCAAAAAAACAAGCTGAGAGTATTCAGTTAAAGCATTGGGGTTCTGCTCAATTTGGGAAAAATGACAACTCCCCTCGATTGGACATGCTAGAAATAACCACAAAAGGAATATGGTGAAATTTATAATAAATGGATGTTTGAATTAATTTTTAAAAAATCAAAATTCTAAGTAGTAAATTACATTATAATAAAGGTATTACATAATAATTTACTAAATTTTAATCACTTTTTTTCAGAACCTATTTTTAACCAGTTACTATAGCATATAGAGGAATTTTTTGCTAAAAATAAATTATATTGAAACTCTCAACGAATCCTAATTAATAGAACAAATGAAAAATTAGCTTCTTGTAATATCCAAAAATAACCTCATAACAGTAGCCTACAGATTAGTGCTTATTGGCCATGTCCCTGCCTGACCTTGCTCTCTATTGAATATGTAACACTTCTAATTAATCTCCACGTGTCAAGTTCAGATTTTGAGGCATCTATCACCACTTACTGCTACTATATATACACCACCATCTTGCATGATCTTTCATCACTACTGGCAAAGAAAGCCATCGATTAACACTACAACTTAACTATGGCTCCTACAACTTGTATCACCATTTCCGCTTTTCTAATCCTTCTTCTCCTCACTCCAATCTCTTCTTTTAACCCATTTATTATAGATTATCAAGATTCAGATGTATCCTGCTCGATCCCAGAATCCGATATCGATCTTCTTGAATTTTCTCTAAACTTGGAGTATCTTACAGCTGAGTTCTTTCTGCATAGCTCAACAGGTCAGGGCTTGGATAGGTATGAACCATCTTTAGCTGCTGGAGGTCCAAGACCCATGGGTGCTAAAAAGGCTGATGTTGACCCTTTCACTAGAGATATTATGGAGCAATTTGGATGGCAAGCAGTAGGACACTTGAGGTAATAATATATTCTTGTTTCAAGAGTTTTCATATGCAATGTTAAAAGAAATTGAAATGTACCTGCTAGCTTTGTCTCGGTTTTACTGGATGCAGGGCAATTAAGAAGACAGTTAAGGGATTTCCAAGGCCATTGTTGGATCTTAGGGCAGAATCATTTGCAAAACTTATGGACTTCGCACTTGGAAGGGAACTGTCTCCTCCTTTTGACCCGTATTCCTCTGGATCTCACAGCCTTATTGCAGCCTACATGATCCCCTATGTTAGTCTCACAGGATATATTGGAATAAATCAAAGAATCGAAGGCTCTGCTTCTAAGCAGGTACAAACTAAATGCCTCAAATCCAACACTATAACTAATTAACAGATTTTCAGTTAGCTGATTTGTCAAAGTATATGTATCTGCATTTTAGCTTGTTGCAGGCCTTCTGGCCATGGTGTCTGGTCAAGATGCAGTAATCCGAGGATTACTATATGAGAAGGCATTCGAGAAGGTGAATCCATATGATATAACAGTGGCAGAGTTCACAGGTCGCATTTCAGATCTAAGAAATAAGCTGGGACACAATGGTTTTAAAGACGAAGGACTTGTAGCTCCTGAGTTCCAGCCAGAAAACAAAATTAGAGGCAATGTGCTTGCTGGAAACAAGAATTCAATTGGATTTGCAAGGTCACCTGGGGAGGTACTGAGAATTGTGTATGGGGGAGGAAATGAACGTGCTCCCGGAGGTTTCTTCCCACACGGAGCTAATGGTCGTATTGCTAGATGGTACTTTAACTAGATCTTACATATGCTAAGGCATATGAGAAATAATAGTGGGTAATATAGAGTTTTCAGTGTTTCAACTTCATGATTTTTGGATACAACAATAAATTTTAGCGTTTAAGGATTTGATGCATTTTATATATTTTTCTTTTCTTTCCCAATGATATGCGCACGCAAGCGCATGCATGCGTGCCTAGTTCGGTTTGTTGTGTCCATAGACTTCATATCCAATAAGCCATGAACTAACGCAAATCCTGGAAGCAAACTGATCACTTACCATGACTGTTGTGTACAATATTAGAGAGAACAACTTTCAAAATGAGTACAATCAATAAATGAAGGAGAAATATATGACCTTCAGTTGATTTGAAAAATCAACTCTAACCAGACCACAAGGAGACTTGATTCTAAAGTTGTGAAAGCAGAGTCCTGATTGACCTTGCTGTGAATGCAGCTAATGGACGTTATGTAGAATCCTGCACAAGGCACAAAAACTGCTTTAGGAAAAGATAATGCATTATCAGATCAATAAACATCGCAATCAATAACCATAAGTATCTGTTTTACATATTCCTTAATGAATTCCTAGCCATTTACCTGATGATGATGACAGAAAAAACAGCATGCACTCATCCTTGGTGTCCTGCAGTTTGAGCACCATTGATTGAATTTAATAAAATCCAATAAGATAACTCATGACCATTCAACCAATGCTGAATACTGTGCATCTCATTGATGTTTAGAAATCATATATGTCTGTTGAACTTCCATACATCTTTGCTATCAACCATGAGCCACAATATCATCCAGAATGTAAATTGGCCCTAGATGACCTAAGCTGTTAAACAAGCCCCTGACTAACACATTCCAAGTTGCCACATTGGGACAGATCCCCTCATCTAGCATCTTACCAAAATACCTGATGGCTTCATCTACCCCAATCTGATTACAGATTCCCCATAAAAGACTGGTGCATGCAATTATGTCTGGGTACCACTCTCCTCTGGCACTTAATCTATCTACAAGCTTGATTGCAGTCTTAGCCTTGCCTTGCTTACAGTAGGCATAAATTAGCGTGTTGTATGTGATAGCATCAGGCTTCAAACCTACTATTAGCATTTTCCCAAGAAGCTTCAAAGCCTCTTCAAACATTTCAGCATGGCAAAATCCACTTAAAATGGTATTGAAAGTCACCAAATTCGGCTCAATACCGTTCTCTTCTATCTCCCGAATAAGTCCAAGGGCTTCTTTTGTTCTGTTTTCTTTGAAAAGACCATTCAATAATTCATTATATGTTGTGACATTAGGGGAACACCCATATTTTCCCATCTGATTTAACATTTTTTTAGCCCATTCTACACTCCCATGGCAACATAAACCTTTGATAAATATATTGAATGTAATTGTATTTGGAGGACAATTATCATTCACCATTTTCTCTATAAGACATTGAGCTTGATTGAACATAGAATTCCTGCAAAGGACATCTACCATGCAAGTATACACAACAACATTCGGAATGCAACCATTAGTCATCATCCTGTTCCATGTTTCAGATGCACCAACAAAGTCATCAGCTTCAGCAAATCCATCAATGAGAGCACTATAAGTGGTCACATTTGGAGAGCAGCCATTTCCCTCCATTTTCAAGGAAACAGAAAAAGCTTCTCTCGTTTTCCCGTGGGAGCAAAGACCATGTATTAGAGTGTTATATGCGACAATATTAGGTTCAAATCCTTCTTGAATCATTCGGTTCCATATATCAAGTGCTTCATACACTCTCCCGCCTAGAAAATAGCCCTTTATCAAAGAAGTAAAGGTGTGAATATTAGGGCTACAACCCCTCACAAACATCTTTGCCCAAACTGCAAGAGCCGATTCAACATTTCCCACATGAGCAAGAAAATTTATTACCGTTGAGTATGTAATGACATTAGGTTCAATTCCTTTATCCACCATTTGACCTAACAGCTGAAATGCCTCCTTTATTCTGTATTCTTTGCAAAATCCTTGTATCAAAGCATTGTAAATAGGCACACTAGGTTGAAATCTCATCGCAAGCTTCCTTGCTTCCTCCACCTTACCAAGCTTACACATAGAGGATATCACAGTTGTATAGCTAACAACATCTGGATTACATCCTTTGTTCGACATTTCCACAAGCAACTTGCATGCTCCATCAATCCTATTATTCTTGCACAATGCCTTCAAAAGAATGTTATAGGTATAAACATTTGGTTCCATCCCATCTCTCTTCATATTGCTATATATAGGATTAATCATTTGAAACCTATTTTCACTTAGCAATGCATCCAAAAGATGATTGTATATCTTAACAGTCGGTTTGCACCCTAATTCCCCAATTCTATAGAAGGTTTTCAAAGCTTGCTCCGCTAGACCCACTCGCCGATAAGTATTTATCACAGAGATAAACAAATCCTCACTACAGCAAATACCTTCTAATTTCATTTGCTGTAGAAGGTACTGCACACCGTCTACATCACCTTCAATACCAAGCTTTTCGATCATAGTTTGGTATGTCAATGGGGTGTGCTGGAAAGCTTGTGAATTGGCAATTGACTTGAAGTAATCTACGGCCAGTACAATGCTGGATTCACTTCTTAACCTCTTTAAAACCTCATATTCTTTGAGATTGGCTTCGTTTTGTTCATTTCGGGGTTTATTGTTCGAATTGAGAATTGGGTTTGTGTTTAAAACAAAGGGGATAGCAGGTTTGCGGACTTTTAACAATAAGGAATGTCCCTCTTTTAGATACATTTTACTTAGAACTACAAACTCAAAACTTAACCAATCAAAGAAATAGTAACCCTGAAGCCCGAGTAGGAAAGTTAATTTTTCCAAAAGAAAAAACGTTTAAACCCAAGAAAATGCATACCTTGAGCCTTGAGGAAGGGGACCTCGGCCTGCTTGAAGTGTGTTCTCTCATCTCTGGAAGAAGATGTATTGCTGTGCCAATTCATCTTTCGAAAACAATAACAAGTTACAAACGCAGTCTAACCGACGCCGTTTAGTAACTCGAAGAAGGGCTGGGATTTAAGTTTTGGAAAGTATGAGGGGTAAGTTATAAAATCTGAACATTAAGAGGATGTAAACGAAAAATTGTTAGAAAGATATAGCCTGGGTTTTTGTAGGTTTACAAACTGCAGAGCAAATCGGGACATAAAGATAGTTTTACTGATTAGTACAATCTACAATTTAAGGTTCGTGTTCTACGCATTCTATTCTTTGGTTGTTTTAATCACTTGGATTATTTTCTTAACTTTTGCAGTTACTATTGGAATTCTGCTTTCAATGTTTTTTGTTTTTGGTGATTCGAATTCTTTCTAGATTGATCCTAATTAACAGATCTGTTTCCATTGTAAAGCCTTTGTCTTTACTGGATTCGTCTCTGAATTTTTTCGTTTCTATACATGTATATGATTTGTGTTTGGATTTTGTACATTGATATTAGATCAACTTGAAATAGAAGCCATGGCTGGACATAATGATTCTGGTGGATCCGAGAAGAAATCAAGTGAAGCAGCTAATGATTTACAGACATTCAGTGCTGAGAATTTACAAAGTAACATGAAAGTGATATATTACAGGTTTGTTTCAACTGCTTAATTGGACTTGCTTTTTAATTGTATATTAATATGACAAGAATCACCTGCCTGGAATATAAATTTGCTGAAAATTTGTGGCATGAATGATTGTCTTTCTTATCACACATAAGGCTTTAATCTTAGTTGGTGAATGGGTTTTAGGATTGTATTGGGGTATAAGCTGGCTGTTCTAGGTGCTTCATATAGGGGCGATGCAATCATTGCCATTGGAATATATGGGAACACACAGAGCCGGGTTTCTTTTTGGTTCTAACACCCATTTGAATTTGCAAGCAGTCTGTCTGACGGAAACATGTCTAGAGGTTAAAAGTGTTTCATGGGATATCATTTCAAATCTGGAACTTAGGGTGTGTTTCATAATTGACTTGGAATGGGAATGATGAGTTATTGGATTCCAAACCACTCATGAGGTTGAGAAGTTCTAAAAGTATTTGTAAGTTTTTGAGTAGGCACTATAAGCACAATATGGCATGCTATAAATTGCAAACTACCATTAACAGTTTTGTTCCATGTTTATAGTGTAACATAAGCTTTATCTTTTGCAGCCGAACATTTTTGTCTATCATTGGTGGGGTGGTTGCTGGAATTTTGGGATACACGGGTTTGACTGGATTTATCTTTTATTTCCTTATCATGGCAATCACTTCAGTCGGACTCATAGCCAAAGCAAAGTTTTCTGTTCATTCTTACTTTGACTCTTGGAACAGGATTGTACTTGATGGCTTTTTTGGAGGGCTTATGGTAGGTTTCTCTTTGACTACCAGTTAATCTTCTTTCTTCCGCTTTTCTGATTTCCCTTTGGATGGGGTTCCCTTCTCTGTGATATCATTTTTATTTTGTCTATGGTAATTATAGTTTGTGAAGTAAAAGCTTTTTTCCTTTTTTGGTATTCTTCACCATATTGAAATAGATAGTATCAGTTTGTACAGTCTTTTTGGTGGCTTATTATTTCCATGGAACTTATGGTTGATCATGATGATGTGATGTGTGATTGTTTCTGCCGGGAAGGGGTTTAGTTGTGCTTCTCTGTGCGTTTATCCGTGCTGAATCAAGTTAATTGAATGTTTTTCAATCACAGCAATGTTACTCACAAGTTCTTCCGCTATGGCGGTGGATCATGTTGTTCATGTACATGTCTGGTTTGATTTGCACCTTTGATAGTAATTTCACTAGAAAAGGCTCTGTTGCTTTCATAAGCTAGCCATATTGATACTATTACCTACCTAGTGACTTCTCTTAACACAGGGAAAGCTTTTTATTTTTTCTGAATTTTTCAGATGTTGCTTTCTGGAAAGTCTATTGTTTCTGATCATTTATGTGGCTATTCAACGATATCACTTTAAGAATGACATGTTCAATTGCTTCAATAATCTTCAAGTTCTGGATATCTTTTGTTCATGTTTCACTTGACTAACAGTATCTTTTTATGTTTATGCAGTCATTCGTGCTGTTCTGGACGTATCCTTCCTTTTTCTCTTTGTTTGGGAATATTGCTGCTTTGCTTAAAACTATAATTGCAATGATCTTTAAAGCCGTAATCACGTAATTCAAATTTATGATTTTTCCCATAGATTACTTAATCATTGCATTTGCTAATCTATTGATTGGTAAATCAATGGTGCTTTAACAGCACTTGAGCATCTTTCTTGCAAATTTTTTAAAGATTCGAAAACATTAATTCAGTTTATTGAGACAGTTATATATTCTCTTTATAATTCTTCCTTGACATGAAAAGATTTGCATATGATATTGTGCATATATTCTGATAAGGTATCTGCTACATCTCGGACGGGAATGAAAAAGCGCCATGTTGAGACCCTAATCTACATCATCCTGGAGCTCGAATGCGACCGAATTGCTTTGTGCCATTACAAAACAATTACAAAGATCACTTGTATTCATCTGTTTTTGAAGTTCGGTTAAACAAACCCATACTTTTTGGACTTGATTGTAGAAGAGAAACCTTTGTAAGGGAGATGCTTCATGCTATTCAAATTATACTTTCTTCATTTTATTTTATTTGAACGTCTGAATGTTGAAAATGGCTCAAACGAAGTATGCTTGGTAATTAAATTTAGCTATGGTTTCAGCTTCTTCGCAGTCGTTCCCAGCTATGCTGCATGGAAACAAAGTCAAGGAAATGATATTTAAAATACATTGCGGAAAATGATACTCTACGCTGTGCGGAAATGATATGCAGAGTATGATTTTAAGCAGAGTATGATTTTACACGGGAAAACGGTATTTTATACAGAGAAACAGACTTGATGAAAGCCGCAGAGTATGATTTTACACGGAAAAAGGAAAAAAGGGGTATTTTATACAAAGAAACGGACTTGATGAAAGTTTAGAAAGTGCATTAGAGTGCTTTAGTTGTGTTTTTATGACGTGAAATTTTCCAATGGCGAATACAATAAAAATGCATTTTATTCTACCAAATACAGCCTGATTTATATATGGCCATAAGTCTACTAACTTGAGGGAGGCAAATGGAAGTCGCTTCAGTAATGAATGTTATATTTCACCTGTAATCATCTTTACTATAGTGCTAGAAAATAAATGAAAAACAAAGATTACAAAAATAATACCTCTTGGAGGTCATCTCAATTACTGATCTTTTCCTATACAAACTGTGTCACAAAATCTAAGCATATCCTACTCCATTTCTTTCACCAAGGAGCTTGAAATAAATCCATTTTGCAGTTCGGGCATTTTTGTTCAAAAAAAGAAAGACCTAGCAGTTGAACTACATTCTTCTCGTGTATTCATGGAGAACTGATACAGAAGCTTGCAGCCTTTTTCTCACACCTGCAAATTTTAGGATATCAGCAAACGGCATTTAAAGGCATTGAATGAATCAAATTTATGGATGCTAAAGCCACTTAAGATTGATTTTAATTTCGAAGAATTAAAAGGAGAAACTCTTACCAATATCTGAGGGATCTTTAAAAATATAAAAGACACCGAGTATAGAATGCTTGCAATTACTGCAGCAGTGATCATATTGTGTGCGAGGCGCTTATCGTCTTTACTGGGTACAAATGCAATTTTTAATGTATTGGTCAGATCAAAGAGTCTGTAAGAAACCTGCAGATAAGGAAAAATATTTGTGAATTAGTTTTTTCATGCTGTCGGGATATGGAACTATACTATAACATTGGATACATACTGCGACATATATGGAAGTAGTGAGCATAAAGTTCAACAGTGGGAATTCTGATTGTGGGATTATAGAAAGCAACAATTTGGGTTGAGCATCTGGGATGCTTGATCTGCAAATTTAATAGAAGTTTAAACAAAGCAGACAATCATTGCATGGCCAATTAATGTGTATGAGCGTGTATAAGACTGCTCAAGCAGGCAACAATGGGTCAACTTCAGTATACCTTAACCAGATATGGAATTGTGAAATGTATGTTTCCAGAGTAATCTTTCCAAGCCATCTAGAAAACCAAAGATTAATATGAATAAAAGAAGGCACAAATAACGTGTCTACCAAACATGACAACTCAAGCAAAAGAAGAAATTAACTTAGAGATGCTTACGCAAAAAGGGTCAAAGTGTAGCTGCGGAAGTATTGGGAGACGTTTCTCAAGGATATGTAAACACTGATCAACAATAATAAAAAATTTAAAAAAAAAAAAAAAAAAAAGGAAAAGAGGCGCGCAATCAGCAAAAGTTTCTTGGCAGGCAATATACAAGAACATTGGCAGGCAATATACAAGAACATTTAAGGAAGCAATACATACGTTATTGGAATCCAAGAAGTATAAGGATGGTACTTGTTGTAAGTAACCTTGTCCATCTTGTATATATGTTCGAACCATAGGTAACCCGTCTAGGAATTTCACAAAAGTTGTCAGCATCAACAGTGAAAACCAAGAAAAAGGATGCAGCTGGAGAAGTTATAATACCAATAGGGATATCGATGCCACAGCTGTTTTGATTGATATTCTACGCTTCACTTCTGTTTCCTCCAGTTTCTCCATCCACCTTTCCACCTACAGATAACAAACGCCAAATAAGCAGTCTATGAGTCAAACAGAGATTTTGCATCCAGTTGCAACTCAAGAACCAGAAGTTCTAATATAAATTCCACATGGTTCAGAACTTACTGTTGGATGATAGTAGGCATATATCATTCCAATTATCCAGATATAACGATCAAGGCCTGAACGGAAATGCCATTCATGCAACCGAGGAAGATCTGGTTTTGCAGGATCAGTGTAGCCTGCAATATTTTGAGGGATTAGGTTTGGTGCAACCAATAAGCCTTAGCATATGATGAATCAACCTTTGACAAGATACCAACCAAGAAAGAAAGTAAATGGGCTCCAAACCAATTCAAACACTCCAGGAATTTCCCATATTAGGATAACAACCAAGAAGCAGGCGATGATTTTTACAGCTATAACAGATCCCTTCTCGTTGTATTTGTTCATAATACCAAGTGCTCCATAAACCATAAGAGTGAAAAGAGTGTGCATAGGGCAAATGTAATACAGCATATAACTATTGTTAAGCACGACACAGCAGAATATCACCAAGAAATTAAGCCGCCACATCATCTGCTCCACAAGAAATTTTTACAATCAGGAGCAACTTAATTGTATAGAAAATGTACATTAAACTTTTAGGGGACAGCATACCTGCGCAAACCTAGCAAGACTGAAATCTTTTCGGACATAATAATATGAGAAGTTCCCAAACCCAGTCATCCACACATACGCGGCAATGAAAACTCGGATTGCATTATAGATTTCTGTTGCAGCAAAGTAATGATACATCAAAAACAATACCTGAAAGATGGCAGAAAAATGAGTAAGATTACTGATTACAGATTGCAGCAGGGGCACATAGTTATTTGGACATTAACAGTATGCACTAGAAGATTACCACACCCTGTATTGGTCTTGAGGAATGTAGGACACAGAAAAAAAATAGAAATCATGTATATGGTTCAATTTTTTGGTGCAAGATTGTGCAAGAGTTCAGAATTTATACTGAAATGGGTATCAAAAGAAAATAACAAAAAATTATCTATCAAGTAACTTAAAATTACCAAATGTTGCATCCATCAAAGCAGATGCTTCATAATGAACATTTCAAAATTAATACATGTCATTTGAATGAGTGACACACCTGCATCCAGCCTTTCCATTCCTCAGTTTGATGCCTGTTCAAATAGAGTATGGGTTTTCCTGAGAATGGCGACCTATCGTGATGTATCTTGAAAGAAGTTATGGCTGAAACTATGATGAGAAGGGAATAGAGAAACCAGAAAAGGTCCCTATTAAAACTCTGCACAGACAGACCATGGTTGAGGTTAAAACCAAATCAAAAAAATAACATAATCAGAAAGCAAATTTTTCTAGATTATTGCAACTGCCACAAGTACGGAAACTTAAAATAAAACAGAAAAAACTCACTCTCCCTATGGTGCAAACTTTACCGTTAATGCAAAAAAAAAAAACTCTCTGCTATAAAACACCATTCCAAATTAATATGGAACATAAGGATGAAATATAATAACATGCACAAATCCAACTTTAATAGATTGTCAGGAGGTAAACAAGGCATTTGATAGTCCGCACTTCAATAAGTATTTTGTTATCGAAAAACGGTTTAGCTGCATGGCTTGCTGACAACCATAAGGATCCAAATATAAACAAAACAAGAAGTTTGAAGTAGCACCTTCGTTGATGAGTTAAAGAAATCTGTACGATCACATAGGTAAAAGTACCCAAGAAGGGCACCAAATTCAGATCTGCACGGAAAAGAAAAGGAAACAAATGATAAGTAAGAGAAATGCACATGAAATAGATAGAGTGCAAAAACTTAAACATTTCTGAATCTCAATCCAACAGGTATAATATACTCACATAGCTCTGAGTGTCAAGCGATTCTCAATCAGAAATTGCTCTTCCATCAGAAGGAACCTAAACAAGTCACAACCGCGTGATTTGATCAGGCAAAATCGTAAAAGGACACTAGAGAGAACTTGAAGAAGTGAATTGACACCTTCACAGACCTGAAAATCGGAGATGAAGCAGGGGAAGTCTTAGCTCTAGGAGAAGCTGATTGAAGACCTCCCCCCTCCAGCAAAACAGCTCGGTCATCTTCTTTAACAGCATCATTTCCCATTTCAGCCAAACCAATATCAGAGTGTCTACTAGCAATAAGAGCGACTTCGATTCAGCTTACAACTATATATAAGGGCATCATTGTCCCATTTCAGCCCAAAACCAATATCAGCAGTGCTCTACTAGCAATAAGAAAGCGACTATTCGATTTCACTTTACAACTAGTAATATCTATATATATATATATATATAATAATATATATATATCGGAATGTAATGTTAAATACATTCAAAAATGTAGAACTCACGCTTTGGCTGCAGCAGCATTTTTCTTATACTCCAAAATCTCTGAATAAATCCAGGCAGCAATTATTGGCACAACGCCAAGTAAAAACGAGACCTGCAAATTAAACATCCAAATCCAAAAATTTATAAAAAATAAAGAAAAAAACGCATTGGCAGTTCATATTATTCTGATTATATTAAACAGCAAAGTGAGCACTACTGATCGACAGTTACTTCGCATTTTACCAATTGGAACTCTAAATCGAAGCACGATCTAAAAGAGTAAATGCTAGCTAAAGAAAAACGCACCTGTCCAGGGGTAATAGGACTAGAGATCACCATTTTTGCTGCTCAGTTGAAGCACCAAGGAAACAATTGAGTGAGATTTAGGCAGCGAAATCAATGTGCATATTAATGAAACTATACAAATTTGCTTGCTCGAAAACCAGATCTAAACGAAATCTAGTTTTCGCTGTAGAACGAGGGGCACGGAGCCGTAGATTGCTCCAAATCTACGGGTGCCGATGTACGTATAGGATTATAGATTTGCGGTGTCCGTGAGTATATATTGCTTCAGTATGAAATGGCGGAGAAGGTGAAAATGAAAGGAATAGTTTCGTAGGAACCAGTGGTGCTTACCGGGCTTTTTTTTTTGTTTTGCAATAGAGCGGTTTGTTGGAAATCTGTGTTTAATTAATTTTATGAGAGTGGATCTCTTAAAAAAACCCAAAAAAAAAAAAAAAAAGGAATTTGGAAGATGAAATATAAATAAATGAAATGCATCCAGTTAATAATCATTATCATCATGGTGTCCTGAGGATAAGAGAGGCTGGTTATATAGCGTTGATGCGCTGAGGTCTAACCTGTCCGTTCTCCAAATGTTTTGATCGGCGACGCGCGCGCGCGCGGGTGTGTAATCGGAGGACCGATTTCCTATGTTCCTGTGCTATGCTCGTAAGAGGAGATCCAGAACGAGAAACAAACTTTAAATCCTTCAAATTTTTATTTTTCTAATTAGTGTTTGCCTTAGAAAAGGAGTCTTAGTACACTGACCGATTTCGACGTCGAAAAAAAAAAAAAAAAAAAAAAAAAAAAAGGGAAAAGATGGATCTCCACTAACCGTGATTTAAATGCTGCTCCAGTTATCTTATCTTCTGGGTCTAGGATAGAGGTGGTTGTAGCGTTGATGGTCCGTCCAATGTTTGATCGGACGGTGTGTAATCGGAGGAGATTTATGTTCCTGTGCTATGGACTGTAGAGAATCAGGAAGAAAACTAAATCTAAAATTTTTATTTTTAATTAGTTTGCTTAGAAAAGGAGTCTTAGACATTGACGATTTGACGTGTCAGCTGTACGTTTTCAACTCATTTCATTTTTTTATTTTTTATTTTTTTTTACCGCTCCGTAGAAAAGCCGTGTCGTTATAAGAAAAAAAGAAAAGCATAGGCGACGGTTCAGGGACTGAAGGCAATGTCGCCAATGCACTGTTGGCAAATTTCGGAAAAGCGTGTTGGCGTCACCAAGCCACCGACATTGGAAGATAGCTAATGAGCAATCACCGCTAAACCCATAGGCGTGGGACCATAATATATTAATGACTGGTTCTTGATCTCGACACTCGTCCAACGCGCAATTATGCACCTTGGTCAGTTTGGCTAGAAGCCTTTTGGCACTCCATTTGATGTGCTTATTTGCTTAACGAGACCTATTAGTGAATCGTCCTTCCTTTAATTTATAAATTAATAAATATATTTATAATTGAAAGAATTTAAATTCCATAACTCTCTTTTTTTTTTTTTATAAATGAAAAGACTTATTGCACCATACTTTATTGGCTTTTCTCTCATGTAGTTGGCAGTTGAATGCATCTTATATTAGGTAATGTTAATTATCAAACTTAGGAGCACACTTCTCCAAACTATCCCTATCATTTTATATCGTTGGTTTTGGTGCAATGTGCTTATCTCATCGCCCATACATACGATTTCGGGCCCATTTGGGGTTTAAATATACTACAAAGCCGTGTATTTCCACTGGTCCATCGAAGCCCAAATCTGCTTCGAACCCAACCGTTCGTGGAAAAAGTTTGGAAATTGTACTGAACAGATCAGATCAGCTGCCTAAGTGAAAAGATGGTTGGTTGATGGCTCCCCGTGTTTCGGTTTCAAGGCTTCCATTTTTCGGTGGGTCAATATCTTTGAAAATATCATCGTTCTTGGACTACTTTGTCAATTAATGTGCCTCTAGTCCTCTTCAAAGGTTGGTCGTTATCTAGTGAAATCAAACTAGACTTGATTTATCATAAACAAAACATTTATCTTTTATTTCAATATTTGATTAATATGTGATAGAGGTAAAAAAAAGAATATAAAGATAGTTTTTGGAACAATAAGGATATGATCGATTCAATATGCCTTTACAAAATAAGTTTGTACGTGTATTATATGAATTTGAGTTATTGTCTGAATCGGGTGTTACGTTATATATTTTAAACACGTTCATGTAAATCTTATATTTTCAATACATTTATTAATCTATCAATATGAAAGATTGTCGCTTTGTATAAAGACCTATATCTAATTACAAATATATCAATTGAAATTTACACTAAATACTTGATAGCTTTAGATACTATTTTGGCCAATACTCTTTTTATATTTATTAAACATAGATATTTCAGGGTTGATCTATTAAAAATTATAATACTTTCAACAAATGTTTTATTTATCAACGAAAATTGAATTCTTAACCTTGCATAAATGGAAGAGTGCGGAACTTCTCATTCAAAGACTCGTTGGTCAATTCTCATTCATTGCATTGCGTTTCCTTTCTTTCCAAATTTTCAACCAACCATAGCAATAGCCGTTACTTTCTCTTTGCAATTTTGGATTAAACTACACACTAATGTTGGCAAGGAAAAATAATACAAATTACTAAACCAATAAGAAGATAAATTTTACTAGCATTTTTATAGTCTATTTTAAAGAAAGAAAAATACAGCCTACTCAGTCATGTGACTTCCACAATACAAATCCCCTAATCGCCACTCGCAAAAAGGCTTGAACTTTGAAGGCACTTTAAGATAATTTCTATATTCTATGTAACCCTTCAAGGCTTCAACAAGAAAATTAGAACCGAAATAGCCTTTCTCTTCCTTGTTCGCTCAGTGTAGCACCCCGCAATTATTGGCCAGATTTCTGTCTCTCTGTTGGGAGCTGGACTTGAATCTTTGCTTCGCTTTGACTGAGGAGAGGACTTTCACTGAACGGAGTTTTTGGTAGAGAAAGAGCAATGTCACTCAGACCCAGTTCGCGTACTGAGTCGCGAAAGAAATCGTACAAGAGTGGCGTCGATGGAGACGAGGCTCGCCGAAGAAGAGAGGACAATTTGGTTGAGATCAGGAAGAGCAAGCGAGAGGACAGTCTTCTTAAGAAAAGGAGAGAAGGGCTTCTTCTTCAATCTCAGAATTCAAATGACCTTAATGCTGGGATCGAGAAAAAGGTTCTTAATATTTATTTTTCAAAAAGTTCCCATTTTTATGCATGCCAGTGTTTAGTTTACTAAATTAAAGTTTCAAGCTTTGTGGTTTTGATTTTATCTGCAATGCTGCATTATTTCTAGGTTGATTGATGGGGTTTGAAAATGGTGAAAAGCAGAAGTTTTAGGTTGTGAGATTTTAGGTTTATCATTCTCACCTAGTCAATTTAGACTAGTTCAATTGTTTGTCTGTCTTAGATTATCTAGCTGATTAGCGATTGACTACTACTGCTACCCAAAGTGCAAGAATCAAAAGAACCCAACCATTTTTTCTTTTGAGCAACTATTCCATTTTTCTTCCCCTTTTTCCACCTTTAGAATGAAATTTCATTAGTTGTTCTAATTCTCAGCATTGATGGCAGTTGGAAAATCTATCTGCAATGGTACAAGGAGTATTGTCAGACAACCCTACCCTACAGTTGGAAGCTACCACTCAGTTCAGAAAGCTATTGTCAATTGGTGTGTAAACTAACCATGCAATGAATTCCCCTGCTCCAACCTCCTCTTTCAGGCTGTCTCTTTTGTCTTTCTAGTTAACCTGTTGAATGGTTATCTGTGTAATTATGCAGAGCGCTGCCCTCCCATCGATGAGGTCATAAAAGCAGGTGTTGTTCCTTGCTTTGTGGAGTTCCTGGATAAGCATGATTTGCCTCAGCTGCAAGTATGGATAAATCAAAACTATTTCTCCTTCTTCTATGTGACCTATATCTGTCACGCAGAGAATTTATTTTCTCAATTTATCATCAAGATTTGATTTTTCCTTCATTATCAGTTTGAGGCGGCTTGGGCATTAACAAATATTGTGTCTGGGACATCAGAACACACACGAGTTGTTATAGACCATGGTGCTATACCCAAATTTGTGCAACTTCTTGGCTCTGCAAATGATGATGTCCGAGAACAGGTTGAGTTGAAATGCATATGTTTTCTGAACTCTCTATTCGCTTAAACATCAGTGAACTTGTCTCATTCCCTTTTGAATTGCCAATTACCAAATAAGCAGGCAGTGTGGGCACTGGGCAATGTTGCTGGTGACTCTCCTAGTTGTAGGGATCTTGTTCTTAGTCATGGCGCTCTAATGTCATTACTTGCACAATTCAACGAGCGCTCAAAACTATCAATGCTACGGAATGCTACCTGGACATTATCAAATTTTTGCCGTGGAAAGCCACCAGCTCCATTTGAGCAGGTGAGGATTATTATTATTATTATTATTATTTTGTTTTGTTTTCTGGGAATAGCCTTGGATGGATGCACGCATGAAATCAAGTGTATCTAAGTGTATTTAGTAAATGCTTTACCATAATATAGCAATAAAATCATAGAATCTGATAATTTTTTTTAAAAAAATTCAGGTTAGGCCTGCATTGTCAGCCCTTCAACACCTTATCTACTCAACTGATGATGAAGTGTTAACTGATGCCTGCTGGGCACTTTCTTATCTTTCTGATGGCACAAATGACAAAATTCAGGCTGTGATAGAGGCAGGCATTTCTCCACGACTTGTAGAGCTTCTACTGTAAGATTATGTTTACATGCTCAGCTTTATTGAAAATGTTATCTCTTCAACCCTATCACACTCAGTGATTGATAATTTTGCAACATTAGTAGATAACATCCTTAATATTTTAAAACCTTCTGTTTGTGACAGTTAATTAGTAACTTCCTCATCTAGATTTCTCTCTCTCTTCTGGTTTTACGTTGGAGCTTTGTGTTTGTGTATTTGATGTAAAATCAGCAAATAGGATTTTCTATGGAATGATGTAGTTTGAATACACAATTTATGGTTAGTTATCACAGTATTTTTTGCTTCCATTGGGTTATAATCAATCAATAGCATGATATATATTGCTAACCTAAGTTGTTCTTTTGCAGTCATCCATCAACAACAGTCCTTGTACCTGCACTTCGAACTGCAGGAAACATTGTCACGGGTGATGATGCCCAGACCCAGGTATTTATTCAGTACTATATTTTTACTCTTGCCATTCAGCGGGTGTAGTATTGTATGCACAGGAAGGAAGCATTGAAAATATCTACAGATTGCTGCATCATGCTTTGTTTGCACATGCCAAGTAAATTTATATCATGGCAATTATCCTTCATCATGATAAAAATTGATTCATGAAGTTTACTTCCAGTGTATAATTGACAACCAAGGGCTTCCTTGTCTCTACCAACTTCTTACTCAAAACTACAAGAAGAGCATCAAGAAAGAAGCTTGTTGGACAATTTCAAATATCACTGCTGGGAATAGAAATCAAATTCAGGTAATACATGGAAGTAATGTACATTTTATGTTGCATGCTTGATTCGTGTGGCTTTTCTGCCTTCTTTTCAATTCAATTCTCTTACTGTATATATTTTCATACAATTTTTTATCTCGATAGGCTATAATTGATGCAAACATCATTGCTCCTCTCGTACACTTGCTACAACATGCTGAATTTGAAGTCAAAAAGGAGGCAGCATGGGCAATTTCCAATGCCACTTCTGGGGGAACCCAAGAACAGATTCAGTATGTCTTTGCCTATCCTTTCTGCCTACTCGCACTAATCTTTCCAAGCTCTCTGTATTGAGACTTATTTTGTTACTTTCATCTTGCCACTTAATTATGTTCAACTTGGTGGTTTGTTCAGACACTTGGTGAGCCGAGGCTGCATAAAGCCACTCTGTGATCTCTTGGCTTGTCCTGATCCAAGAATTATAACAGTATGCCTTGAAGGTCTAGAGAATATTCTGAAGATCGGTGAGACTGATAAGGAGTCAGGCAATACCCAAGTCAATGTCTATAGACATATGATCGAGGACTGTGATGGGTTAGATAAAATTGAAAATCTGCAGAACCATGATAACCAGGAGATCTATGAAAAAGTTGTGAAGATTCTGGAAAGGTATTGGATCGAGGAAGAGGACCCAGACCAGGATATTGCAGATGGCATTGATGGAAGCTTGAGCTTTGGAACGAACCAGCCTAGCCTTCCCTCAGGAGGATTCAAATTTTAGCTGAAAATAGTTGAAATGTATTTGCGTGTAAACCATCGTGTGCCTTTGATCTTATTTTATGTTGAAATTAGACTTTTTTTTTTTATATTATATATATAAAAGATAGTAGCATTTCTTAGAATACTTGGTTTTTCAGTTGGAAACGTTAAAGAGAAAATCATAAATAAAACTAATAATGCCGTATGATTTTTGAAAGAATTATATTTCTTTATTTCTTTTAAGTAAAAAGGAGTTCCTCTGAACTCGCGACAAAATCCAGTCTGGATGTGAATGTTCATCCGTGACTCCAGCGAAATCACATATTCGATGGGAGCCACCCATCATGTCATCACACGATGTGAGATCATTTGATCAAACGGCATGGACGGACAGATAGATTTCTTTCTAGTGCAAACAAACACCGTACAGAACAATCTCTGTTCCGTCGTACGACCTTCCAAAGAGACGATAAATTCTTGGCGTCTCTTCAACTTCTCGTTATCTCGAGATCCGTGCAAAAATCCTACGCTATCTATCTGTTTTCCATTTTCTCGCTCGCGGCGGACGCCATCTGTTTAAGAAAAAATTTAGTCAGTGAAATCGTACCAATCAGCATCTGGTTTTGGACCACTAATGGAATAAAGAAATGCAATAAATTCCAGGCATTGGCAACCTAACCAATTTTTACGCTTCAGGAAAATTTTATTTCTCTGTTACCTAAAAATTAAATTGTTTCTGCCAATTTCAGTTCGTTCCCGTCACTCTCGTTGGTGGATAATTACCAGGATTGGATTGAAGTGAAAATATATATATATAAATAAAAAAGATAATTTCTAGGATCATCGCTATCAGAATCCCACTCTGACTGGCCAATCATCCAAAGGAAATATCAAACTCATCATCATCGTCATCATCCATCATTGTAGCAACCATTTCACAGATTTAAGTTTTCAATATAAAAGGAAGCCTGCAATCAACCTAAACATTGAGTATTAAATGTCCACAGCTTAGCTAAGATCATAACTTACAGAAAATCTAATCCAATTGTCTTCAAAATAGTTATTCAAACCGTCCACCCGCATTTACCAAATTAAACATATAATCCTAAAAAGTACTGATAATTAATCATACAGGATTCAAAAACATAATCCATAAGCATATCCTATCCTTCTTTCTACAAAGATGAGATGGGTTTAAGAGAGAGGGATAGAGAGATCGACCTATATGTTAATGGTCATTCCTCAACCCAAGAAGGGTCCCAGCCCTATCGCTTGGATGGTCTCTCATCATCCTCTCCACCACCACCATCATCATCGTCATCTGAGTCGTCTTTATTCGACCTCTTCCTCTTTGCTGGAGCCTCCACCTTCCCATCTTCTCCATCATCTTCACCTTCCTCATCAACATCCTCATCCTCTCCATTCTCTTCTGGTTCAAAATCACTAGCATCCTCCTCATCTTCAGCACGACCTACTGGTCGAACCAGGTATTCGGTTCCCATGTCCTCCTGTACATCAATATTAATCCATATAAAATTGACAGCAAGAGCCAGAACAGAGTCAATGTGGTCACACACACACACCAAATAGCAAACACAATTAGAACAACATAAACTATTGTAGAAGCAAGTTAGTTCATTTGGTAATTTTTATCAGCAAATGAAATATAAAGATATGTAAATAGAAACAAGAGATTTGAACTACAAAGTCCAACTTCATTTGTGAAGTCCAGAATAGATTCTAAATAAAGCATGAAGATTATGCTAACAACATTCAAGCATCAAGATTTTAATAAAAACAAGATATTTTATCTACAAACTCCCAACTCATTCATTATGTTCCTAGTATGTTCTACATAAAGCATCGAGATTAAGCTAAAACAAACTCAGTTTAAACATATCTGCTTGCCTAATCTATCATGAAAAATGACCCAAGTTCAAAAAAAAAACAATTCGAACAAAATATGTTGTTTGACTACTTTTTTGGCAGTTCAGATAAAAGCATATAAACTCTGCCTTGGTTTCCAGAGGGCAAAAGAAACAAAGTTGTGTAAGTAGCATGAACTTCACTGCAGCCATAACTATAAACAATTTCCCAATTACAAATAGGTAAAAACACATTCACCGCATCACATATTTACCCACAAACTAAAAGGCCCAAGAATCTTGAAAGGCTGGTGATTGGTGAAGCCAATATTTGGATTGAAAAAATAACAAGAAATAATTTGTAAAAAAAAAAAATAACAAAAAGAAGGCAAAAATATGCACCAAATCAGTCAAAATTTATATGAAATTGAAAAATCAATAATAAAATTTGAAGATCTGCATAGACTGCCCACCGTTCAAACAAAAAGAATTCTACTCCAGCGAAGCCAAAGATAAAACAGCAGACGTACTATGAAAATTTATAAAATAAATTTCACCAAAATAACAGATCTGGGAAGAAAAGCAAAAAAGGAAAGTCCTTTTACATTAAACAAAAGAACAAGTAAAGTAACTGAAGAAACTAATCTTGTTTAACAGTTTATTTAAACATAAGACAGAAACTGTTCAAAAAAAATAAAAAATAAAATAAAAGACAGAAACTTGCACAAACATGTACTTCATTTTAACGTAGATCTGAACTAAAATTATCTTTATCTTAATATAAATTAGATATATCAAACTAATAACTAAATTTTGGGGAAATAAAATGGATTTCAGTAAGTGCACGAATAAGTATGTGTAAAAAGGATCGATTTTGTTTTATGTATGTGTTACCTCCTCTTCAGCATCTTCATCCTCCTCGTCTTCCTCATCATCGTCGTCATCGTCGTCGTCGTCGCCGCCCTCACCATCATCGTCTTCGTCCTCGTCTTCGTCGTCTTCGTCCTCATCATCGTCTGCCGCCTGAACCGGTGGCCCACCAGACGAGTGTAAGACCTGCACCTCATCGTCGTCTTCTTCGTCTTCGGCTCCGGCTCCATCATCGTCGTCGACGTCGTCGTCTTCATCATCGTCGTCACCATCTTCGTCGTCGTCGTCATCTTCTTCCTCTTCCTCTTCGGCTTCTACACCTTCCTTTGTTTCAGTCTCGTCGTCTGTTTCTTCCTCTTCATTAAAGAGTCTAATATCCTTCTCCTCTTCGAAAATTTCTCCTTTTTGTTCCATGGCTTTCATGTTCAAAACTCAAAAAGCTACCAAAATTAAAGCAATAGTATACAGACTTTTCTCGAGAAAATATTTTTTTTCCTGGAAAAAAATTTAAAATCAGAAATTGGGAAAGAGAGACAGAGGAAGGAGGAGCTTCTTCGTTCGTTGTACCAGTAGCTCTGCAACTTGATCTGAGCCGTTGAAATTTGGATTCACGCGGATTGATGACGTGGAATGAGATCGGACGGTGTAGACAAGAGAATGTGCATTTTTGAAGAGATAGGGTCATTGCGGCGCCTCAATACTCGTTTTCTCGAGTCAGCTAGTTGTCACGTGCAAGAAAGCGGTTGGGCATCTAGGGTTAGGGTTCCTCTTTTCTGGATAATTCTAGTGGATCGCAGCCCACTATTTCAATTTCCGAATCGGGCCAGTGAGAATCTTGGAAGGTTGGTTAAGGTTCCATCCTAGTGGGCGCTTCATGACTATTTTCCTTATGCTTCGTGTTGGGCTCCAATTGTAATGGATTTGTAATTTCGGTTATCCTTTTGGTTATACAAGGGAAAAATAAAAGAAGGAAGAAAATAAATAACAATAGAAAAAGAGAATGAAGGGCTACTTACTTGTAGAAAATAAATTTTTTTATAAAAATTTTTCAAGAAAATTGAAAAATAGAGCTTTATCAAATACCTTTTTCCATAAAAGAAATTAAGACAATAAAATGATTTTTTAAAAACTTTTAATATGGGATTTTTTATTTTTAAATTTCAAAGGATAAATACACTTTATATTTTTTGTTCAAAATTTTATCATACCTATAACTTTAAGATAGACTTATTTTACTCGTAAAGTTATGGATTTTGATGATGCATATCTTTCTATGTCAATAATAATTTTTTAAAAAATATTTATTCTACGTGTTAAATTTGTATTAATCCAATTTTTAATTTTTATATATTAAACTATTTATTGTAATTTTATAAGATTTTTTTATTTTATACATGGAGGTGAATTGGCCAATTTTTGAGGTTTTATGATTTGAAGTTTGTCATTATTTTGTATAAATTGAGAACAGATAATTAAAACGGAATTGACAGCTATATTTCTTCACAACCCTGCTTCTGTATAGTAGCATTTAACAGTAGTAATCACTATTGCAATTCAATTGATTTAGTGACGTGGGATAAGCTCATTGGCCCAATTAATTAACAGCTAAGTATTGTTTGAGACTTGAGAGTCAAATCCTACACACAACCACGTGGTATGTGTGTTGCTGTATAACAATTTAAGAAAATCCGCTTAACGTACCAAACCATTTCCCACTAATAATTAAATCCAAATCCTAATTCCTACTCTCCATTTTCTGGAACATCACATCAACGATAATCGCTCGATTCGAGCGGAGCGGCAATATGTGTCCGATGCGCTACGTTTCGGCTATCCGCTGGCCGGAATTTGGATTTTCATTGCGAACATCAATCTTCCGGTGGCCGGATTTCGATTTTTCGTATCTCACGACGAGGTGGAGTCTACAGAGTTTCAGGTGGTTCGATTTCTCTATCGATGATGTGGTATGGACTTTCGTTACGGTATTGGAGTCTGTAGCTTTAGTTGCCATGCTTTGTTACTTCTTTGTTTTTTGCGGTTGTACTCTCTGATGAGTTATCGAAACACCCCCCCCCCTTTTCAGGTGGTTCGATTTCTTCTAATCGTGAAATGTTGGTATGGACTTTTCGTTACGGAGGGTAATTGGAGTCTGTAGCTAAGTTTGCTCATGCTTTGTTACTTCTTTGTTTTTTTGCGGTTGTACTCTCTGATGAGTTATCGAAAACACCCCCCCCCCTCTCTCTCTCTCTCTACCAATAGTTCTTTTGTAATATATGTAAATTTTATAGCCGCTTAAATTTTCCAGGAACTACAATCCTTTGGCCCAGCACAACTTTTAGAATTTTTATATTATAATAAATTTTTCATTTTCGGGATTGCTTATCCGTTTGATCTTTTTTTCCTTTTTTCTGTTTGGTTTGTTTGCTTCAATTTAGCTTTCTTTCCCAACTCTCTGCCTAATTCCCTTGAACTGACAGGTTTTGGTGCGGAGCAGTTTTCCCACCACTCAGCACATGGGGTAAACGTGGGCAAGTATTTACCACTGCAAACCATTTGACTAGTTTTAATTACAATGTAATTAGAATATAATTACGGGTCCAAATAGACCAATTAATTTTGAAGTATATCTTTGTTGTTTTAAACTAAATTTTTTATTATTTCCCGATAATTTTTTATTTGGACTATCATAAACAAAATAAAAAAAAAAAATGTGGAGGGTTAAATTTCAAATTTTTGATTTGGACTTATCAATTGAATATAATAAGATAGAATAAAGAGACCTGAATTTAATTATCAAATGGAACATGATAAGCAAAATACGATAATATATTTTAATGGATCGAATGTTACATCAGTGAAAATTAAAAAAGGGTTAATGTTGAATTTGATCCTTAAACTTATTATAGATATTTTCGTCGTTGAAAATTTAAATTTTTAAAGTATATTGAAAATTATAAATTCTTGAGTTAAAGTTTTGGAAGACTGTTATTTATTTTGTAAAATCCACGATGTTATTTAAGTTAATTAGCCATAAAAATTTAAAATAAAATTTTTTGAGAGGCGGAAAATTTAAAAATAAATTAAATATTTTGTGATCGTAGATTTTTTTGAAATTGCAACCATGTTTAATTAAAAGAAAGACAAATTAAGTATTTTTTTTTCCCCATAAATAAAAGGACAAAATTAAGGGTTCATGATAAATAATTATAAAAGCCGAAAATATCCACTTGGCGTTGTGCGGAATAAAAAAAGGAAAAACAAACGAAAAACAAAAAACTACTATTGGACAAGTAAAAACTACCATACGGAAGTTCAACTTGTTGTCCCCCCTAGTAGGCCGAGAAGGCCCATAGTAGAGTGCCTACGTGGCCCTGTAATTAAGGAGCAGACCAATCACACCTTTTCCGCCACGCCAGAGAGTCTCTCTGTATCCGACACGTCGTTAACTCCAGGACCACTGAATTGCAAGTATAGATAGAACACAATACCATAACCCGGGGACGAAAAGAGATAGGATATATAGAGTTTTCGTAATATAAAAATTCCATTTAAATTTGCGGGTCTTCTACTGAATAGGAGCAAAGTAAAACACTTTCGTGCTTTTTATAGATATATTTTCCCAATATAATCTTACCACCAGAAATCGTCCATTGGAAAGGTTGCTTTGAGATAGATAGATAATAGAGGCAGCCAATGCTTACCAAACAATAGAAAGACGTTGTCTCTCGCTATCTTTCAAGATATGATTCTTCCATGATATAACCTTTCTTTGGGGTTGTAGACCGTCGTTTGGTTTGGATAAACCCTAGGGTTTCACGGCCAGGTTCCTTTTTCCGCACAAATCTACCACCACTACCATCACCACCAGCCGCGGTGGTTTCTCCTCTTGGTCTTGGCTTTGTTTTTAAACTCCTCCTTTCTTCATTCTGATGGAGGAGGAAAGGTCTATTTCGCTTCTCAAGGTTAAAGAAAATTGGCAATGTTACCTTTCTTTTTCGGTTCTTTCATTTTTTCTTCCCAAGATTTCGCAATGTACCTTCTTTTTCGGTTCTTATCATTGTTTTCTCTTCCCAAGAATTTCGCGAATGGTACCTTTTTTTTTGTCGTTCTTTTATTGTTTTTCTTCCCAAGATTACGTGATCGTATTTGTTTTTGGGCAAATGTGGTTGACCTGGTGGTTGGGTTTTTGATGTTTTATGTTCATGGCTAATGAGGGTCCTGGTCCATCTGTTGAAGAGGAAAGAGAAAGAGGAAAAATGTCATTTTGAAAACTCAAGAAGGGTAATCTTCTGGTTTCTTTCTTTATTTTTTTTAATGGTTGTAGCGTGGTCAGACATTGTTTCCTTATAGGAACAGGACTGACAGTTTAGTCTTCTCTATCAAAAAAGTTCTCATCGGTTATCATCGCCTGTTTGGGTAGAAATTGAGTGAAAGGGACGGTTTCTTAGAAGGAGCATTTTTTTATTTAAATATTGTTGCAATGTGGAAATTTAATCGCTTAAAAACTCGTGTTATCAATTATACGAGGGGATAGTGGTGTCATGGGCTAAGAAGGTTGCCTGGCAGCGGTCGACCTTTGTAAGAGAAAGAAATTGCGGCCACTCTATGCCACAATATTGGACATATGGATCCTGATGGCCTCGGAGTAAGTCATTTTTTTTAAATCAAGCCTATTCCCTTTATTTCAATTTGGGAATATGTTTTGGACGAGCCTTAACAAGTTTCAAATTGGTCTCAAAATTGGATAATAGTGATAACTGGCGCTCAAATGTTTCCATGAAAATATGTTATGCTTGTGTTACATTCTTTCATTGTAGGAATGTATTATATTTGAAAGGTTTGAGGCCTTTTCCTACTCATCTCTGGCATATGGAAGATGGAGAATTTTTGTAAATCATGATATTCTTTTTTGCTAATGTCTGTCTATTAAGTCAGGTTCATGGTCCAGAGTCTGACATTGATGCTTTATGCGTTGGACCTTTTCTTTGCCACATGGCTTGTTAAGTTTCTCTATTTCCTGCAATTTATTCTATCATTTGGATCAGGTAAGTGGTTATCACCCATTTTATTTAACATAACTTTTGCGGAGGACTTTTTTATTGTTTCTGGCGAAACATGCTAAAAAGCAGAGCAGCAAGTTTTCAGATATTCATTGCGCTGAAGGAATGCAAAAGTTCCTTTGATGCGGTTCAATTTGACGGGAATCTAGTTGACCTCCTTAGCTCAGCTTCAAGTGTTAGCTGTACTGAATGTAACGTATGAAAAAATTTGCTATAGATATCATCTTAAAATAATTTCTCAATTTATTTGTTTACAGCAATCTTCTGTGCTTTTATTTCAATAGATAGTTCCGATTGCTGTTCTGATGTTTTAACCTTCAAATACTGATTTCCTTGTTTCCAATATGCATGAAAGATTTGCCCCTAAATTGTTTCAGTATCTCTATTCATGTTTTAGGTCTTTCCTTTCCCTGTTCATCAATGTGAATTGTTGAACTTACTGAGCTCTATTAACTGCAGCACGTGGATGTATTCAATCCTTTTTTTTTGAGGATATTGATGAAACTAGTTGGAAGAGTTTGTCTGGCGTACGTGCAAATCAATGGATTCGTCCAACTGTTTAAAACTAGAGTAATGTTTTGATATAAACTCTCAACAC